GAGAGAGAGGAGAGAGGCAAGCTAGGTGCGCTTCCCTCCCATTCCTTGGATCGGGCAGGGCACTCAACCTGATCAGCCTTCGCGCAGAATCCATGGCCAGCAACGACGGAGTGGAACAGCGAAGGTTGCACAAACTTGTTCGCCAGTCCGCCACAAAAGACAAAACATGATGGTGAATGACGTCATGCAGAGCGGGATTCGGAAGGACCTGGAGGTGATCAGGAAGCCCGGGAAGCCAGAGGCAGCATGAGTCCAGAACTTGGCAGGACTTCTCACATCAGTCATCACATCCATCGAGGCCAAGGCTGACACGGTGGCTGAGTATCTCGAGAAGATCCAATGGAGGGTGAGTCCTGTGGACGCGGTCGACAAACCGCCGCTCGGGCCGCCACTGCCCATCAGCGAGAGCAACATCACTCAGAGTCAGGTCAGGGCTGTCTTTAGTAAGTCGAGAAAGAACCGGGTTGTCGGGAGGAAAAGATTCGGGCAGAGTGTTGGGAAGGGAAGTGTTTCCTGATGACAGCGAGTGTCTGCCTTTCACCACCGACTTCATGAAGCTGTGCTGGGGGCGGCACCGGACCCCGAAGGGGTGGCACACAGCAGTTATCATCACGATCCACAGGAAAGGCGCCACTGACAGACCCAGCAACGACAGGCCAGTCAGCTTGCCCTCTCTTGGGTGCAAGCTCTTTGCGTCTCTCGTTCTGGAGAGGCTTCTGGGGGGCAGGCGCAGACGGCCGGCTGTCCAAGCCCTTACTCGGCTTTCGAAGCGGAGAAAGCACGCCAGACGCAATATGTACTCTGAGGAGACAGATTGAACAGGCGTGGGCGCTGACGAGCGGAAATCCTCACGTATTGGCCTTAGTCTGGAAGCAGGCTTTCGATTCAGCGAAGCCGTCTGCAATGCTCGCCGCTCTGGATTGATCTGGCCTTCCCAAGTTTGTGCTGGACGTCATCCACAGCATTTGCATGAATAGCATCTTCGTGTGTCGCGGTCCGGCTTCTCCCAGGGTTGTCCGTTCTCGCCGCTCTTGTTTACTGCCATGTCTGTTGTGAGTCACGACGCAGAATCAGCATTGCAACGAGCGCGGCCAGGCCAAGTCAGACAGCTCGCGTACGCCGACGACGACACTCTGCTCATTGCCGGGACCGCTGGTGACGTTGGAAAGCGGTTCGCAACAATATGCGATTCTGCGGCACAGTTGGGGCCGGAGATGCACAGGGGCAAGCTTCAATTATTCCGAGTCCAATGCAACGAATGCGTTCGCACACCACCAGGGGCAGTCATCGAGGCCTTCAAAACGTTGTCTTACCTGGGCACCACAGTCAGCAGCGATGGTCGGGACAGCGCAGAGATAACGAGGCGAGCTGGCATGGCCGCCGCTTTCAGCAATCTGAAGCAAGCGTGGTGCCACACATCCATGTCTTTACACAGGAAAGTCGAAATGTTCAACGCCATTGTGGTGCCAAAAATGTTGTACGGCCGCAGCACTGCTTTGTTGAACGTTGCAGAGCATAGGCGTTTGAACGGGGCCCTCGCCCGGATGTTGAGGTTTCTTTGTAGGATCAAACTTTGTATGATATCCCGCGTCTGAAATGACGAGGTGCGCCACAGAATTGCGCAGAAGCTTATAAGTGACAGTCTGCCGAAGCACCAAATGCCCCCGCATTGCAAAGCTGCGCAAGAAGGAAAGCAATGCCCTCTGAGGGACTCGGTGGTCAGCCCCAGAACCCTAGCGCCTCTGAGCGACATGTACATTCAAAAAGTCTGGGGCCCTTGGCTAGAATCGGCTAAGCAACTACACCCGCACGCTGATCGAATATGGCGGGATGATGGAGGGCGCGTTCCGTCTGATCGACCAGTCTTTCGTGCTCGTCTGAGCCGCGCCGACGCGCGCCAGGGCGCATGGTACACCTTCCCGTCCCTTTCCCTCACATCCTGTTCCCATCGCGCGAATCATGTGTCATATCGTTGAATCGGGTATCGAATCAGACCTTCATGCCAATATTGGCCAGCGGGGACCAACACGCCTTGACGCGCAGGCCGACGCCGAGGCTTCGAAGCGGCTTCGGCGCAGAGATACAAGGGCCACAGCGGGACGACCAGTGACAAGGGCCGCGAACGCGCATGCGAGGCCAAGGCTGCAGCGGAAGGGCACATCGAGACCAGACCATTATTCTGAAGGGCAACACAAGCAAATTCAGGTCAACGCAACAGCGGAACGGACCTCCATTGAAAAGGACCGCGGGCGCGGCTACGAGGCCGTTGTTGTAGCAGGGGCGCGATTTGGAAACGATGGTTCAGTGGGAGCGCCTTTTTGGAAGGAACGCAACAGGTCGAACTGAAAGACACAGAAACGTCTCAGGAAAAACTCGCCCGCGCAAGTAATATTGTAAGCGACAACTACGCGTCCTTACCGTTGCGCCGCGGACGCGTGTCAGAGCCGACCTGGAACTCCAACAAAAAACCGCCGTGTTATGCACAACTGGAAAGCGGAACTGGGTGCAGAGGATTACGCGGTGGCGATTGGGCATGAGGAGAGGAAGGAGGACGTGGAAGGAAGAGGACGAGGGCGAACACGAGAAACATGATGTTGGGTGGAAAGGGCGGGTGGAACAGGAAGACCAGGGGAGGGAGGAGGAGGAGGCGTACATGAGGGGGCGACAGCGATGAGAAATGATTCGGGTTCAGGAAAATGGCTTACGTTGGGGCGACAGCGCCATTCCGAACGACGGGGGGCAACACGCCGATCCCGACACGAGGCCCACGTTGCAGCGGGAACACCATTTGAAGCACCGAAAGCATTCGGATTGTAAACCAACGATAATGCTAGTGCTCGCAACCCTGCGGACTGAACAGCACGCGCACAAGGCCTAGTATTTCCCGCGCAGAATCTGGAGAGAGAGAGAGAGAGAGAGAGGAAAGTTGCATGCAGGATGTGTAGTTGAGGAGGGGGGACGAGGAGGAGGAAGAGGAGTAGGAGGAGGAGGAAGAGGAGGAGGACGGAGAGGACGATGAGGAGGCGGAGGAGGAGGAACAGGAAAAGGAGGAGGAGGAAGAGGAGGAGGAGGAGGAGGAAACCTTTATTGTTTCTGCGCGTTCCCCCAAACGTGGCGCGCGCGAGCGCCACACTTCATACACTGAGAAATTGAGAAACCGAGGAAACGGAAGAGGAGGAAGAGAAGGAGAAGGATGGCAAGGAAGAAGTGGGGGAGGAGGAGACAGATGACTAGGAGGAGGAGGAGGAGGAGGAGGAGGAGGAGGAGGAACAGGACCAGAAACAGGAACAGGAACAGGAGCAGGAGGATGCGGAGGAGGAGGAGAAGGAGAAGGACGAGGAGGAGGAGGAAGAAGAAAAGGAGGGGGAAAATGGGGGAGGAGGAGGAAGTGGAGGAGGAGGAGGAGGAGGAGGAGGAGGAGGAGGAGGAGAGGAGGAGGAGGAGGAGGAGGAGCAGGAGCAGGAGCAGGAGCAGGAGCAGGAGCAGGAGCAGGAGCACGATCAGGAGGAGGAGGAAGAGGAGGAGGAGGAGGAGGTTCGGGCGTGGTTCGGGCGTGGTTCGAGCGTGGCTTGGTGCGTGGTTCGCGCGTGGTTCGAGTGTGGTTCGCGCGTGGTTCGAGCATGGTTCGCGCGTGGTTAGGGCGTGGTTCGCGTGTAGTTCGCGCGTAGTTCGCGCGTGGTTCGAGCGTGGTTCGAGCGTGTTCGAGCGCGGTTCGACCGTGGTTCGGAGCGTTGTTCGTACGTGGTTCGCGTGTGTTTGGAGCGTGGCTCGAGCGTTGTTCGAACGCGGGTTGAGCGTTGTTCGGAACGTGGTTCGGAGAGTCGTTCGCGCGTGGTTCGAGCGTAGTTCGAAAGTGTTTCGGAGCGTGGTTCGAGCGTGATGCGAAGCGTGGTTCCGAGCATGGCTCGCGCGTGCTTCGAGCGCGGTTCGCGCGTGCCTCGAGTGTGATGCGGCGCGTGGTTCCGAGCCTGGGTCGCGCGTGGTTCGCGCGTGGTTCGAGCGTGGTTCGAGCGCGGTTCGAGCGTGCTCCGATCGCGGTTCGGCGCGCGGCTCGAGCGTTGCTCGACCCCGGTTCGGAGCGACGCTCGTCGGCCGGCCGAGGCCCTGAAGAGACCTTGTACACCTTAGGCGATGCTTAAGAAAACCTAAGTTTTCGGTCAGAGTCTCGATTATTCTTAATGTTTCAATGTAAATCCTAAGATTTGAATGGGCATTCTGGGTTTTTATTTAGATTCTGAGACTATCAATTTCTTAACCCATGATTTCTAAAGCATTTCGCAGGGTGTACCGTGGCCACCCTGTCCCATTTGGTCGGGGCTCGGCTCCGCACCAGTCGGCAGCCGTCCTCGCAGACGAGGTGTGCACATCCGACGCGAAGGCGGCCAGTTGCCCCGTGTCAGAGGCCTTCAACATGTGTACACGTACAGTCAAGACGCTGAAATAAGGAACAGTTTGGATTCGGAAGGGGCTCGATGTTCCTTACGTCCTTCCGTGGTTGTTCCTTCAGCCCTTCTCGTGCACCCAGGCTTTTTTGAAGCCACAGAGGGGCTTCGTCCCTTATTTCGCGTTCCTCCTTTCAGCAGCCCGACCGTTCGCGGTCAGCTTCCCCCGGAGTGCGTTGAAACGCGGGCGTTCGTGCAGGCAAGACCGCGGAGGGCGTACAGTCGGGGCCCTGAAGAAGGAACCCTTTTCGTTGGGGAGGGGCTCCGCGTTCCTTCTGTGTTTCGCAGCTTGCCTGAGGTTATCCTTATGTTTTCGATCGGAAATCGAAGTTCAACGTATGGAAAAAGGGGGCCTCGTTCCTTATTTCGGGTTCCTTAGGTCAAGGCCCCGACTGTACATGTCCACACGTCGTTGCTCGCTCGCCCTGTGCACGAGGTGGAGCCCGCCGGTCGCGGAGACTGGCCCACAGGACCTGCAGGCGCTCAGGTCGTGCAGATGGGGCCCTTGCGCGTCGACCGCCCACGCAGGCTGGGCTCTGGCAGGCGCCGCCATCGGCCCCCCGGGCTGGACCTAAACGCTTTTTTCCCAACCATTCTGTGGTGTTGGGTCCTCGTTTTGAAGAGACGTTGCCCCGCGTTCCTCCTCCTCCTTCCTCCTCCTCCCCTTCCTCCCCCCTCCTCCCCCTCCCACACCCATTCTGGCACACCCCTCACACGTTTCGTGGCCCCATAGGGAGCTCCACCGAAGGCCCCAGTGGCTGCGCCCGCATGCGGTTCCACCCCCCATTATGGCACACCCCTCACACGTTTCGTGGCCCCATAGGGAGCTCCACCGAAGGCCCCAGTGGCTGCGCCCGCATGCGGTTCCACCCCCCATTCTGGCACACCCCTCACACGCTTCGTGGTCCCATAGGGAGCTCCTCCGTAGCCATTTTGGCTCATGCCTTTCCGTTGGCCCCCTGCTCCTGGACCTTGTCCCCCGGCGTACCCCGAGACCCCAGTTTCACGGGGCAACTTGGCGGGCGTGAGGGACTTGTGGGAGTGGGGCTTTTGGCTCTCGGGGATGGCGGCGGCGGGCGGCCCGACAGCGTGGCGGCCTTCATCGCAACGGCAGGCTGACATCGACTCCCTGGGCCCGACGGCGGCTCGCCGTGCCGCTCGAAAGTGGCGGCAGGCTGCTGTTGTGGCGGCCATCGGCCGCCGCGCTGGCGCAGGTGGCGAGCCTGGCTCATGGCGCGACCGCGAGCTCGCGTCTAGGCCTGCCCTCCAGTGCGCGGCCAGCGGGCGCCGCGTCCCTGGAAGATCCAGGCGGCGCCGCAACGCCGCTTGGCACGCCGCGCGGGTGCCGCCTGGAGGCTTCGCTTCGGCGTCCGCCAGCGGCATCGCCTGGGCGGCCGCCGGCCCGCGGCTGGGCTGGGAGGCGGGGCTGCCCTTCGGCCCTGTCCCAGCACGGCGGCACGGGCTTCGGTGCTCGTGCGGGGCAGTCGTCTTCAGCTCGGCGTTCGGCTTCGAGGGCGAGGACGGCTTCATGGAGTCGGGCCACCCTGGCAGTGAAGGGTTTCGTGGCGGTATGTTTGGAGATCTTCCTGCTGGGGATCTGGGTGTCCGCATTGCTGCTGGAGTGCCTGCTGCTGTACTCCCTGTTCCGCTGGTGCATCCTCCTGCAGAGGACCCTGGTTTTCTGGCTCAGGCGTTCGGGGCTCACGGTGTGTCGGACGATCGGCTGGTACTGGAGTCTTCGACGGAGGTCCGCCCCAGTGCGCATGGGACCGAGGTGGCGGGCATTCGCGGCAAGGACGTCTACGACGGGGACGATGCTGGAGCCCACGGCGCAGGTGGTGCATCTGCTGATGTGCGCCCTGATCGTCTGGTCGAGCGGCCCTCTGGCGAGCATGCTGGCCTTGTGGTGGGTGTCGGGGTCCATGAGGCGTCGACGGCGCTGCTGGCGGCAGGAGCTCTTCGGGGGGGCAGCTCCCAGTGATCGGGGGGCACGTTTATGCGGGCACGAGCGCACGGGTTTCGATGGCGTGACCGACGTCTTCGCCTGTTCGTTCTTCGAGGTGGCTTTCATCACGGTGGCCTTCCTCAGCCTGTTCTCGGTCCTTTCGGTCCACTACTGAGGACGGCGCAATTGCGCGTTTCTTCAAACCTCTGGCCAGTACGCGCGCGGTTGGTCTTTGTCAGGACAACGAAAAACATAGGGAGCTCCACCGAAAGGCGCCCGCATGCGGTTCCACCCCCCATTCTGGCACACCCCTCACACTTTTCGTGGCCCCATAGAGCTCCACCGAAGGCCCCAGTGGCTGCGCTCGCGTGCGGTTCCACCCCCCATTCTGGCACACCCTCACACGCTTCGTGGCCCCATAGGGAGTTCCACCGAAGGCCCCAGTGGCTGCGCCCGCATGCGGTTCCACCCCCCATTCTGGCACACCCCTCACACGTTTCGTGGCCCCATAGGGAGCTCCACCGAAGGCCCCAGTGGCTGCGCCCGCATGCGGTTCCACCCCCCATTCTGGCACACCCCTCACACACTTCGTGGGTGGCTCCATGGGGAGCTCCACCGAACGCACCAGCGGCTGCGCTCGCATGTGGTTCCCCCCAACCCATTTCGGCACACCCCTGACACGGTTCGTGGCCCCATAGAGAGCTCCACCGAAGGCCCCAATGGCTGCGCTCGCATGCGGTTCCACCCCCTTTTCCGGCACGCCCTTCACACGTCTCGTGGCCCCATAGGGAGCTCCACCGAACGCCGCAGTGGCTGCGCCCGCATGCGGTTCCACCTCCCATTCCGGCACACCCCTCACACGTTTCGTGGCTCCATCGGGAGCTCCACCGAAGGCCACCGTGGCTGCGCTGGCATGCAGTTTCACACCCCATTCTGGCGCACACCTCGCACGTTTCGTGGCCCCATGAGGGGGCTCCACCAAAGGTCCCAGTGGCACTGCCCGCTTGCGTCCGCCACCACCCAGCACAGCCCTTGTTCCCTGCGCTTCACCCACCCAGAACAGCGTTTCGTAGTCTTATAGGGAGCTCCACCAAAGGTCCCAGCGGCACCGCCCGCATGCGTCCGCCACCACCCTGCACAGCCCTTGCTCCCTGCCTGCGTTTCACCCACCCAGTACAGCGTTTCGTGGCCCCATAGGGAGCTCCACCGAGGTCCCAGTGGCACCGCTCGCATGCGTCCGCCACCACGCAGCACAGCCCTTGCTGACCGCGTCTCGCCCACCCAGTACAGCGCTTCGTGGCCCCATAGGGAGCTCCACCGAAGGTCCCAGTGGCACCGCCCGCATGCGTCCGCCGCCACCCAGCACAATTGCGGCATTCACAACTGCATATGGTTGGGTCCTTCGCCAGGCTAATTTGCTGGACTTCGGCTGCGTCTTGTTTTCCGTTTCGGGAGGGAGGTGCAGGAAAACAGGTAGAGCAAAACGAAAAAACAAAACGAAAACAAAACGAAAAACAACGGTCAGGTCCAGCCCTTGTGTGCACATCCAGCGTGAACACGACCGGTTGCCCCATGTGCAAAATATGGACTTCGCCTGTGTCGAAGACCAGGCCACGGACTTGCAGGCGCTCAGTCGTGCAGAGGGACCCTTGCGAGTCGACCGCCCACGCAGGCTGGGCACTGGCATGCACCTCTTAGGAGAGGAAAAAACACACAGACACAATTAAGATATGGGAAAATATGGGAAGTGGGGGGGAAGACAAAACCCAGAAAATATAGGAAAATACAAGCGAATCCCGTTATTTGTGTCTATTTACTTGTGTGTCCCAGGCCCCTTAAATGCAGGTTGGGCACTGGCATGCACCTCCAGCGGCCCCTCCTGTTCCCCGCCGAGGCGCTTGGAGCCGCCTGGGACACGTCGGCCGCCAGGCCTCTGGGCGCCGGGCCCGCTGGGGAGAGAGGCTCCCCGGCGGCGATGGGTCCATAGGCAGCGACGGCCAAAGAAACTGCGGGCGATGATCCCAGATGTCTTACTTGAGCCTGGGGAGGAGGCCCAGCAGACAGCCGTGGCCTCCCCCGCGCTGCGCCGCGGGGAGCCCCCCCCCCCGAGGAGGCCGGCGACCACAGAGCGGCCGAGGCCGCCGTGGAGGCGTTGTCCTCCTCGACCAGGTCGGAGGCGCGCCGAACCCCTCCAAGCGCATGCTCGCGCCGCGGCAAGGGTTCGGAGGAGGGCTCATGGTGTGTCGGGCCGGACGAAAGTGGGGGATAGGGAAAGGGGGGGCTACGAAATCTGCTGCATGCAGCTGGTTTCGGCCCTGCCGCCGGGCCCGTTCCTCGATACACTGTTATTTTCTTGGCGCCGGGAGGCGCCGGGAAAATCAGCTACGCGAGCTGATTCTCACCCCCCCCTGTTGCTATCCCCCCCTGTCGCCCAGCCCGCGATGCGGGGTTCGAGGCTCGAAACTTTCGCACGCCTGAGCGAGACCTCGCCGTCCCTGGGGGGGTTGCGATCTGCGACACTGTCGCCACTTTTGACGGCTGCTGGTGGGTCCAGCGGAGTGAGGCACCGCGGGGACCTGAGCGAGATTTCGCCGTCCCTGGGGGGCTCTGGAGAGCTTCTGTGGGATACGTTACGCGCAACGGGCGCATGGCACAGCCAACGGGGGTGATTTGTGAAACAGACCATCTGCCGGGCGATGGCCATAACGTTGCGCTTACACGTATCCCGCGGGGGCTCTCAAGAGTTGCTGTGGGATACGTTGGATGCAACGGGTGCATAGCACAGCCAAAGGGGGGTGATTTGTTATTACGTATATATATATATATATATACATATATATATATATATATATATATCTGTGTATATATATATATATTGATCGGGGGCCTGCGAGCCTTCCGATTGCTGCTCGCAAAATCACGTGCGTCCATGTTACGTCATCGCCCCCGTTGTAGCAATCTTGATGTACTTATGCTCCGCATTGCGCAAGGGTTGGGCACGTCGCCAGGGTAAGTTTAACTTTTCGTTCGAAATCCGCCTGTAGGGGGACAGGCCCGACTTAAAGGTATGGCCCGAAAGCCAGACGGCGAGGATCACTGGGGGGACGTCGGTCAGAGGAGGGCGAGCCGAGACGGCGGCCTCGTGGGCCTTCGGGAGGGCCCGCCGTCGCCGCGGCGGTGCGCAGCTCGGGGAATGGATGCGCCCGGACCCCTGGGAGCGGCCCGTGGACCAACGTTGAGCTGCCGTGGCCCGTGGCGACGACAGGCTGGTCCTGCATGGGGGAAGGGGTCGGGACTTCCAGGGGCACCGTGCCCCAGTACATCTGGACATCGGATGCCTGAGCCTGAGCCTCCTCCGCCTTTTCCTCCTCATCCTCCGCTCATTATTTTTTTTCTTCTTATTATGTTTATTTTTCTTCTTCTTCTTTTTCTTCTTCTTATCCTTATTATTATTATTATTATGTCTATTCTTCTTCTTCTTCTTCTTCCCGCCTCCCCCCTCCGTATCGTGCTTCTCATCGTCGGCTCCGTTCGCCTCCGCTTCTAACCTCCGCTTTCTCATCATAATCGTACCCTTCGTCCTCAATCATCCCTCCCGTCCTCCTGAAAGCCTGAAAGCTTGAAGTCAGAACAGTTCGTCGAACGATGCCGTCCCTCCCCGTACTCCTGATCACCCTCATCATCATCACCAGCAGCATCGTCATCGTCAGCATCATCATTATCATCATCATCATCATCATCATCATCATCATCATCATCATCATCATCATCATCATCATCCATTTTGGCTCAAGCGGCGGCTGGGGGGCTGTTCACGCACGGTTTCGCTTGGTCAGGCTGCGCGCCACCGCCTGGCAATGAGGCGAGGTTCTGAAAAATTGCGCGGAAACAGTACTCCGGTGGTTCGCGGGGCGAGTCAGGCATTCGGAGAGCAAGCAGAAGGAGTTGGAGGAGACTTTGGAAACGTACGAGAACGACGTGAAGCTGGTCGGAGCTCGAGAGCGTGCCAAGACGGATCAGCAAGAGAAGGGCAACAAGCAGTTCCCGCTCAACGTCGACGCCGAGGAGTTCTCCCCAGGTCCTCCGGGCTGTTGGGCTCCGGGCTACTGGGGCAGCGAGTACGTCGAGCAGGTGAATAGCGAGAGGGTCGTCGAGACCAGGAAGGATAAGCACGGCGAGCACGACGAGTTCGACGAGAACGACGCAGAGTTGGTCGAAGTTCGAGAGTGCGCCGAGATTGATAAGAAAAAGAAGGAAGCCAAGAAAGACAAGGCAGATAAGGAGGAAAAGAAGGTTGGGTTCGACGAGCACGGCCACGAGAAGTACAACGTGGAGCTGGCAAAGCCGGTCGAAGTTCGAGAGAGCGTCAAGAAGGATGAGAATGATACAAAGACCAGGAAGGCTACGCACTCCGAGTACGACGAGTTCGACGGTTTCGGCGAGTACGACGAGCACGGCGTAAAGTTGGTCGATGTTCGAGAGCGTGCCAAGAAGGGAAAGAAAGAGGACGGCAGCGAGTACGGCGAGTGTGACTACGACGGGCATGACGTGGAGTTGGTGAAGTCGGTCGAAGTTCGAGGGTGCGACGAGAAGGATAAGAAAGAGGCAACGACCACGAAGGCTAAGTACGGCGAGTGCGACGAATTTGACGCGGAAAGAGGACGGCAGCGAGTACGGCGAGAACGATTACGGTGAGTACGACGTGGAGTTGGCGAAGTCGGTCAAAGTTCGAGAGTGTGACAAGAATGATAAGACTGAGACAAAGACCACAAAGGCTAAGTGTATGGCGAGTACGATGAGTTCGGCGAGTACGATAAGCTCGATGCAAAGTTGGTCGATGTTCGAGAGCGTGCCAAGAAATATAGGAAAGAGGACGACTGCAAATACGGCGAGCACAGCTACGTGAAGCGCGACGTGGAGTTTGCGAAGTTGGTCGAAGTTTGAGGCCGCGACAAGAAAGACAAGAAAGAGACACTGACTCAGAAGGCCAAACATGGCGAATACGACGAGTCGACGACCACGGCGCACACGATGCTAAGCTGATCGATGTTTGAGAGCGTGCCAAGAAGGATAAGAACGAGCACGGCGAGTACGACGCAAAAGTCGCGAATATCGAGTCCCGTGTGGATACAGTGGACAGCACTCTATCCAGCCTTGTCCCGCTGTTCAAGGAGGAGCTGGCCGCGCCCCTGGTCGCCAGAGTCGAGGCCTGCAGCAAGGAGACCGCGGATCTTGGGGAGCACTTCAGCAGCTTGGTGCGCAATCTGGAGCGCGAGGTGTATGGCCTCAGCACGAAGTTCTGCAGGAAGTTCTGCGACGCCGACTTCGAAGCCGACTGAACGGGACCTGGTCCCGCTGGTGAACTTCTTCACCACCTGGCTTTGAGGCGCTCGGACGTGGGGCCGCTGGCGCTAGGGGGGCCTCTGGAGGCCCACGAAGCACTGGCAACAACAGCAGCATCATCAGCATCATCATCATCGGCATCATCATCACCACCACCACCGGCATCATCATTATGATCAGCATCATCTTCGTCAGCAACATCATCATCAACACCATCATCGACGTCAACATCATTATCACCATCATCGAGCGGCACGCACATTGAAGTGGCACGAGAGGCGCGGTATTCTAAGAAGGGCCTATTGGAAGGCAGGGGTGCCTTCTTAGAATGGCCTGGGGGAATCCGAGGAGCATTCTCACGTAGAAGCTGGGAGGGGTTCTATGAAGCCCCCTGCCTTCTCAGACGCCGCAAGCCCGCACCGTTCTGTTGGACAGCCGCCCCCCCCCCCGCGCCACCCTCATGCGCGCGCCGCTAGCAGCTTCCTCGGAGCTCGAGGCTGCGGCTGCGGACGGCTCTCCTTATCGTAGGCGACGCCCTCGCCGATCCTTCTTCTGGCCTGCGCCGGGGGAGCGCGTGAAAAATACAAGGGCAAGGAAGAAACACTATCGAGGGCGACGATGGGGGCGAATGGCCCAGGGGAGAGCAAGCCATGTATCCAGGGGCGCCCATGGCCCGTGTTTTCGGCGAAGCTCCCCAGCGAATGCGTGCAATGCCCGCCCCTGGGCTGTGCGACCCCATAGTCGCCCCCGAACGGAATGACCGAGCGTCGGCATGGAGGCGCCCAGCCTCATCTTCTTCCTCGCCTGATTAGGAGGCGCGTCGGGTCCGTCCGCATCCGTCAACCGCCGCCGCATCACCCCCCTGTTCCTGCCACGGCGACGACGCCAACGGGGCTTTGCATTCCTCATTCTCCTCCTCCCCATGCCGTCGGAGGGTGACAAGAACCCCAACTTGCCAAGCCGTTGAGCGAATTACTCATCTTGTCGGTTCCCGAGGGGCGTTACGGCCGCAACTTTTGACGGCTCGCCCCCGCCAAGTTTGAACCCAGGCCGTTTTCAGTATGGTTTTTCCCCCAAAGTGGGGATTCTGTCCACCCCTGGTTTTGTCCTCCTCCCCGTCTTCGGCCTCATCTTACGCTGTTGCGACGGCAACGGCTTCGACGGGGATTCTCCTCCTCCCTTCGCCTCGCCATTCGCTTCTAAGCCATCCATGGGCAGAGTTCCAGGTCGAATTTTCGGGCATCGGATGACCATCGCGCTTCTGGCGCTCCGGCGCCGGCGCCGTGCCCTTCACAGGGCCGTCAAGGATGATTGTCGGCGTCCGTCCGTCCGTCCTCCTCCGCCTCGCCCTCCTCCTCGTCCTCCTCGCGGCGGGGCTGGATTGTCGACTTGTCTCACCGCCCCGGCGAGCCTCCTCGCCGAGGAGCCGTCGTGGATCGCCCTGCCCGACCTTTCCCCCCCTGTCCCAGCCAGTGGTGGATCCGCGGTGAAGCATTGGTCAGGACGCGCTTGGAGATGGGACCAGGGCCGATGTTGAGGCTGACCGTGCGCCCATCCTCACCACCCACCGCCGTCGCCCTCCATCATACAGGAGGGAAAAAACACACAAACACAACGAATCGTCGATTCCAAGGAAAATATCTGAAAATATGGGAAGTGGGAGGGAAGGCTAAAACCCAGAAAATATGAGATTAGATAGGGAATCTTGTTATTTGTGTCTATTTATTTGTGTTTCCCAGGGCCCCTTCAATCAGCAGCATCACCGCAGCGTTTGGCTGGGCGTCCGCGGAGCGCCCCTCGCCTCGGTCGGCGGAGCGGGTGGCGGCGGCCGGGGGGGGACGTCCCGAGGCCGGCGGGCGCGCTCCTGGAGGCGCCGCGGGAGGCCCCCGAGGCTGGCGCGGCCGCGCGCGCGACGCATAGGGCGCAGGCCGTCCGTGGGCGGGCGGCCTGCCTGCGGCGCAGGCCGTCCGCGACGGCTGTCCAGGCCGTCTGGCGAGGCCGGCGAACGCTCACCACAGAGCGCTCAGGGCGCCAGAGACGGGGGTACAGCAAACGGGGGATTTCCACGTTTGGCTACGCCCCGGGGCCCTGGGCGCCGTAGACGGGGGCACAGCAGACGGGGAGATATGGAAAAGCCAAAGCCCCCGTTTGGCTAAACCCCCGTTTACGAAGCCCCGAAGCGCCTGCAAAACGAGCTATCCTTGGCATCGCTCGGACGTGCGCATTTTTCCTTCGGCGAGGACCATCGAGGAGCATCCTTGATCATTTGGCGGAAAAACCACGCACAAAACCGAAAAAAACACAGGGAATGGACGTCCGAGCGATGGCCAGTATCACATGCATCACAGGTTTTTGAGATCGTCAGCTGTTGTGTTGTGCGGCGCAGGCCGTCCGCGACGGCCGGCCCGCTCTCCGGCGAGCGCCCCGCGGCTCGGCCGCTGCGCATGCCGCAGAGGAGGCCGCAGGGAGTCGCCGGCGCGTGCTGCCGGCTCCTCCCGCGGGGCTTAACGGGGGCGCCCCGCGGAAATCGCGCAGCCCCTCGAAGAACGAAAATCGCGAAAATCGCGCAGTCCCGCGAAAATCGCGGGAAAAAAGAGACGGCACGCGCGCGCTTTCTCGGAGGGCCGCGTGGGTTGGGCCCCCGTGGCGGCGCCTCCGGCGCCACCCCTGGCGCGCTCCGCGCGCCAGGGATGCCGCTCGTTTTTTGTTCCTCTGCTTCGCGCGCCGCGCGCGCCGCGCAGCAGCCTCCGATGTCGCCGCACGGTGGGTGAAGCCGTGCGCGAGAGAGTCCGGGCTCTGGTTCAGCGTCGCTGCCCGTCTGCTCCTCCTCTCTGCTCGCTTCTCCCCCCCCTCGCCCTCTCGGAGCCCGCGGTGCAGGCGAGCCACACTCCGCTCCTGCTGCGCCCGACGCGGACCGATCGTCCTCTGGGTGCTGCGTAGCGCGGGTGGCTCTGGAGGGCAGCAGATGCCGGTGCGCACGGATGCGCCACCGCCCTGCGAGCCTGGTCGCTTCAGACGACCAGTTGCTTGCCAGGATTGGGCGCTCGCGCGACCGACCCACTGGGCCGTCGCATCTCGGGCTGCCCCATCACCATCAAATCCATGAGCACCACCATCACTATAATCCATCAATCTACCTCCGCATCGGGGGCCTCCCAGGGCTTCCGAGGGCCTCCGGAAGCTTCCGAAGGCTCCCCAAAGGGCCCCCGAAAGAGCGTGGGGCAGCCAGCAGGCATCCGAGAAACGGCCGACAAAACATCAGAAAACCAACAACATGCACGGTTTTTGGATGGTTCTGGAGACCATCAGAAAATGATGCCTCCCCATGTCATCCCCCATCGATCCGCTTCCCTCTTCCGCCGCCTCTTCCTCATTGCTAACTCTTCATCCGTCCGCCGATCCTTCAATTTTTCCTCGTACTCTTCCTGTTGTTAAGCTTCCTCTTCCACATCTCATCCATATTCGTCGTCCTTCTCTTTCTCGCCCCTCCTCGTTGATACCACCACGAACCTCCTCACCTCGAGGCGCTCGGCGACAAGACGCCGACCTACGATGTTTCCGACCAGCCTGAGCAGGCGTCCGAGCCGGTGGAGACCGACCAGCCTGAGCGGGCGTTCGAGGCGGTGGAGACCGAGCAGGCAGCCTCATTGTTCTCGTCCGCTCGATCATCCTTCTGCTCCGCTGGGGGAGCTGGGGCAGCTGCGCCTCTCACGGCTAGCTTTCGCCACCCTGACGTGGCGGCGGTCCCCACCGCGGGCATCGAACGATTGAAAAGCCGCGATCGTTCAAGCTGCTGGCACCACATGCGCTGTGCCAGAGGCCAACGCCGACGCCATCGCGACGTGGGCTCGCCGTGGCCGTATCCGCTCCCCTCGGGCGAAGCCATCGGTTTCGACGCCCCCCTGCGTTGGGCCCCCAGGCATGGGGAGGCACAACACCACCGGGTGCGGCGACTGCAAATGGCGTGTTTGCGCCAGGGTGTATTTTCGGAAACTGGAACATATACATTACCAGTGGCGGGCTGTTTTTCAATCCCAGGATTTCTTGGGGGTCGAGGACGACGCTGGGGTGGTGTGGTGTATACTTTTTTCCCCAGGGAAACAACGAAAAATGTATACACCAGGGTCCCGTATACACCAGGATCCGGTCTCCAGTGCAAATTCTGATGCAGGGCCAGAAGAAGCGTCGGTGTATAGAGTTAGATTTTCTTATATGTTGTTATCTGCGTCGTTGGGGCTTGGAGGGCACCACGAGGCCCTCGTCGGGGCACGGCGGAGAACATTGCCGAGGTCGTCGCCCGCCCCCCCTGGGGTGCGTGTTGCACACCGCACCCTGTGCAAGCCACACCCTTCGGAGTCGCCAGCCGGTGGCCGGTCGGACCCCAGGCGAGCCCATGGATAATTGAAGGCGGATTTCGAATACATCTCTTGTTCTTAACGTTGATTCCAAGAAAAATCCGAGAGGTTTCCCTCCCTCCAAAAAGTAATGAGAGCCTGCTTCTTTTTGGAGGCTTCGAGGGTCCGGGTGAGTCCATCCTCGTCGGCGGGACTCCTTGCTGGAGACGGCACGACAGGTGCTGGCGTGGCGGGCTGCTTGACGTTGCGCGGCCGTGCTGCCAACAAAAACTAGCCATTCTCCGTCCTTGTCCCTCCTCTGTGTCCTCTCTCCTCTCCTCCCCTCCTCTCTCTTTGTTCGTGCGCGTGTAACCGCACCCTACCACACGCTAGCGCCGAAGGCGCAGGGGGAATCAGCTGCACGCAGCTGGTTCGCGGATCCCCCCCCCCCCTGAGTCGTCCGCCTTGGGACACGGCCCGCCATATTCGGCGATGAGCTCCGCGGAGCGTCCGCGGCGCGGGCGCGCTCTCCGGACGAGAGCACCGGGGTTGCAGCCAGCGTGCAGCTTCCGGCCACGGGCAGGCCCTCGCCCCAGACCCAGAGAGCGGCCTCGGAGCCAGCCCCTCCTTGCAGCCACGGGACGGCACCGCTTTTTGCTCCTCCTGGCCCCCCTCCCTGCGCCCTCCTCCCCTCTCCCCCCCCCGATTTTTCTCCCCCCCGCCAAGCAACCTCACGCTTTGCCCCGTCGGCAGCCGCTTGAGGGGCTCCGAGGCCCCCCCCCCCCCCGAGCGGCTTTCTGGCCACCCACGGCGGGGCCGACTGGGGTGGGTGGGGGGGGGGGGCGCACGCCGCCGCGGCTCAAACATCTGCCCCTGGCGGCATCGATCGGGAGCGACAGAAGGACGCACGTGTACATGAAGCCACGCTGGTTTCGAGGGTACGCATTGCGCAACTGTTCGTATAACGCGGCCAGTCTCGCGGATCGAGGGGCCGTGTTCATGTACATAGCTGGGCGCGTACGTCTTCTGTGGGTTCCCCAATCAACTGCCCCCCCCCAGCAGCTCCCCTGTCTGATTGCGCATCAAAGGATGCGGCCATTCATGCCCCCGGCCGGCGGACGGAGGGCCAAAATCAGCGCAACGGGAAGGCATAGGCGGGATGGGCACGATGCCAAACATATATCGCGCGCGCGCCCAGCTTGCCCCTCCCCCTTCTTCAATTACACCGTATGCATACTGCTCTCCTCGCTCCCCGGATGACATCCTGAAGATGTCCGACCCTCCTCCGCGTGAATTTGTGTTATTCCGGACTCCCGGGAGTTGGGTTTTCGCTTTGTTTTCTTTTTTTCTGTTCTTCCCGCTGCAGCGCCGCCCTCATCTTCGCCCTTCCGCTCGTTCCGAGCCGTGCTCCCGCTGCAGCGCGGGCCTCATTTCCCGCGCTTCCGCTCGTTCCGAATCGTGCTCCCGCTGAAGCGCTGGCCTCATTTCCGCCCTCTCGCTCGTTTCGAATCGTGCTCCCGCTGCAGCGTTGGCGTCATTAATTATTTCCAGTTCCATGCCACGGCATGCAATGCAATACTATATGGTGTTCCGTTGTGCGATGCCATGTTTTCAGCTGCAATGCTAGGATATACAGTGCTTGACTACGCAGTGCCACGCCATGTTATGCTATGCTACGTTTTGATCTTCAACGCCATGCTGTGCCATGTTCTGTTCTGTGCCGCTGTGCGATGCCATTATTCGCATTGCAACGCTTTGTGATGCAATTCTCCACTACGCAACGCCACGCCATGCTGTGACATACTAATTACGCTCTGCCGTGCTCTTCCACGCCCTGCTATGCCGTGCTCTACGATGCATCGCGCACCCTCTCGGGATCATTGCCCTGCTCGACGTCCGACTGCGCGAATGGGGGGGAGATCTACGCCATGGCAAGGGATGGGAGGGAGGGGCGGAACGCCAGACACGACGCGAGCGCACCTAGACTGCCCCCTACCCCCCCCCCCTCCCCCCCCGTCGAGTCGTCGGAGTGGGGGGCCGCCGTCGAGGAGGGGCCGCCTCCCGCCGCCCCATGGCCCTCCTCTTCCTAAGGTCCAGCGGGGGCCGCCCGCGCCTGCGGCCAGAGGCCCCCTCGACCCCGCACGCCCGCACACCCGCACCGGCGCCGGCCCCGCGCGGGCACGTGGATAGCCCGAGGTGGGACCCCTCGGCTGCCACCCAGCCGAGGGGTCCCGCCTGCCCTCCCCCCGTCTTCGATGCCCCCGCACCCCGTCTCCTGCCACCTTCTCTCCTCCGCTCCTCGGGGGAGGAAGCGGTACCGATCCCGATCCCCGTTGGTCGTCGCCACGTTTTTGCGGAAACGTTCCAGACCGAAGCAGGGACAGGATCGATTGAGGCAAGTTGAGTGCAAGACGCTGCCCCTTCTCTAATGAAACTCTCCTGCGCCAGCACGTGGGCCGAGCTCGACGGCGGTTCATCATTGTCCAGACAAGTGCCTGTAGTGCTTTATGATGCGTTCTGGGTGCTTCGGCCCCACCCTGCATCGCCCTGGAGTTCGCAGTTCGCAGTACATGGCTGGAATCGCCTCGAGGTCCTGGCCAAAACATGCCCGATAATATCGGTAGTTACTTGTCCCCCCAGTTCCTTGCACCCCACTCTCTATTCCTTCTTCTTTGTTTGTTATCTCGTGTTCATCTCTCTCTCTCTCTCTCTCTATATATATATATATATATGTATCACTCTCTCTCCCTCTGTCTCTCTTTCTGTCGGCCGAACGGGGTCGGAGGAGGAGGAGGAGGAAGAGAAGGAGGAGGAGGAGGAGGAGCTGGAGGAGGAGGAGGAGGAGGAGGAGGAGGAGGAGGAGGAGGAGGAGGGAGGAGGACGGAGGAGGAGGAGGAGGAGGAGGAGGAGGAGGAGGAGGAGGAGGAGGAGGAGGAGGAGGAGGAGGAGGAGGGAGGAAGAGACTGAGGAGAAGAGGGCATGGGGAAACTTATAGGAGCGCAGGACGTGGTGCGAGCAGCCCGAGGCACGCACGGCCGACGAGGGCAGACAGCGCTCCGGCCATGAGAGGAGCATGGAGCGGGGCCCGCTGAAGGCGAGCACCGTGTGGCAGGGGAGCACCGCTCAGTTGGACTGCCCTCGCAGTGAAAGGCCTCCTCCTCCTCCTCCTCCTCCTCTCCTCCTCCTCCCTCCTCCTCCTCTCCTCCTCCTCCCCCTCCTCCTCCTCCTCCTCCTCCTCCTCCTCCCCCTCCTCCTCCCCCTCGGGGCCGTGACCCCCACGCCTCCGCGAGCGCCACATCCCCGAAGGGCTTGTGGGTCAACGCAGTCGGGGTCGGCGGGCCAGCGCCCCGCGGCGAGGCGGTTTCGCCGACCAACTGCCGCACCCCGCCCCCGCCGCTGGCCCGTTAGCGCCGTGCTCGACGACCGATGGCGGAGAGGCCCTGGTCGTCGGCGCCCGACGCCGAGGCCGCAGTCGGCGCCGCCTGCAACGCCTTGCGTCTCCAAGGCCCCGAGCTCCTCCACCGCTTTCAGCGCCGCCGGGGGCGCGCAGCGGCAGCGGGCGCCACGGCCATGCCATGGCCACATCCGCTGCGGGCGCCGCCGTCGCCCCGCGACTGGGGGCCGCCGCTGCCGTCGAGGTCGGCGTCCTCCTCTGCAGCAGCTGCCTCTGCCTGCGCAGGGCCCAGCCCCGCACCAGCCGCGCACGCCGCCGCCGCTGGCGCTTCGCCGCAGCTTCACATCTCGGGGCCTCGTCCGCCGCTGAGGCCGCAGGCCGCGCAGCTCCGCACGCCGCGAGGCGCTGGTGACGGCGACGGCGGCGTCTCCGCTCGGCCTTGGCAGTTGCTGGGGCGGCCGCCGGCACCCGTAGAGGACCGAGGAAGCCCAGCGTCGGCCGGCGCCTGCGCAGCCGCCGGCGGCTCGGCACTGCCAATCAGCGCGAAGGGCGCAACGGCTGCCGCCGTGCGCCGCGGCGCATGGGAAGCGATGGCGCTGCGCGCCGCAGCAGCCGAGAGGGCAGCGGCGGCGGCAGGCTGGAGAGGTCCTCCAGACAGCGCCATCCCGGTAACAGCGCGGCCTTGCAACCGCTTGAGCCAGAATGGAAGAGCAGGGTGAGGAGGAGCAGGATGGGGACGAGGGCGAGGAGAGAAGGAAAGGGAGGATGAGGAGGACAAGGGGGTCGTCCGCAGGTCCCGGGAGGCCCCCGACGGCTCGAAGAGGGCACAGAGGCCGTGCAGCAGTTTGTCACAGAGCTCCCATCAGCCCCCTCCCTGATCCCTGATCCTCCAGGGTCGAGGGCAACACTTCAAGCTCCCAGCAGCCCCCTCCCTGATCCCTGATCCTCCAGGGTCGAGGGCAACGCCTCGAGGGGGCGGAGGGCCCTCTCCTCGGGCGGCGCCGAGCCGGGTGGGAGCAAGCCCGGTCGGAGCCAATGGGGCTCCATCTGGTGGGCCTTCCGATTGATCGTAGTGATCCCGCTGGTGACGCCAAGTTCGGCTGGAGCAAGTCCAAATGTAGACCAGGGGTCTCTTTTCTGGTGGGCCTCCATCGAAGAAGAAGAAGACCCTGCATGGGCATACACTTCTCCGCCCTTCCGCGCGGATCTTTCGGATCGGCGCCGCCGGAGCCGCCCGCAGGGGGACCCCGCGCCGATCCAAGAGAAGCCTGTGTGGACCTCCGAAAGTTTCTGCTCACGCACTTTGTCCTCTGCCCCAGCTGGCCGCAGCCAGCCCCGATCCCCTCCCCCCCCCCGCCCGCCTTCAAGAGTCGAGGGGGTGGGTCGCATCCCGAGGAGGGGCCGCGCCGGCAGCGCTGCAGGCGCCGCAGGACGGCGCGGCGAGAGGGGTGGATGGAGAGGAGGGGCAGGAGGAAGAGTCAGGAGGAGGAGGAGGAGGAGGAGTCAGGAGTCAGGAGGAGGATGAGAAGGAGGAGGAAGGCCAGTCGAGAAAGCGGCGGGGAGGAGGAAGAGGAGGAGGAAGAGGAAGACGAGGAGGAGGAGGAGGAGAAGGAGGAGGAGGAGGAGGAAGCGGAGGAGGAGGAGGAGGAGGAGGAGGAGGAGGAGGAGAAGGAAGAGGAGGAGGAGTAGGAGGAGGAGGAGGAGGTCGAAGAGGAGGAAAAGGTGGAAGAGGAGGAGGTCGAGGAGGAGGAGGAGGAGGAGGAGGAGGAGGAGGGGGAAATGATGGGGAGGAGGAGGGGGAGGAGGAGGAGGAGGAGGAGGAGGAGGAGGAGGAGGAGGAGGAGGAGGAGGAGGAGGGGGAGGAGGTAGGAGGGAGGAGGAGGAGGAGGAGGAGGAGGAGGAGAAGGAGCAGGAGGAGGAGGAGGAGGAGGAGGAGGAAGAGGAGGACGGTCAGTCGAGACAACGGCGGGAAAGGGGGCGGAGGAGGAGAAAGACTACGTCGTCGAGACAACGGTGGGGAGGGTTGACGTTGTTTCGTCCTTCTCAGGCCTCCTTGAGGCTTGTCGTCGCCACGCTGGCTCCACCTCGAAAAAACGAAAATGAATCGGCACATGATCAACGGCATATCTGAACCAGAGAAGTGTCCATTATGCTATGTTATGTGTGTCCACAACTCCGTGGCAGATGGCGGCCAGAACGCAGTGCAGATTCTAGACGCTTCGCACAACCCCACCAGGCCATCCAGAAACGATGCTCATGCGAGAGTTACCATCATCAGGGATATGTGAGAGCATGCAGGGGAATAAAGGGCTGGGGAAGCCGTCATACCCCAAAAGGGGGAGGATGGAGGAGGAATCGGAGGAGGAGGAGGAGGAAGAGGAGGAGGAGGAGAAGGAGGAGGGGAGGGAGGAGGAGGAGGAGGAGGAGGAGGAGGAGGAGGAGGAGGAGGAGGAGGAGGAGGAGGGAGGAGGAGAGGGGGAGGAGAAGGAGGATGAGGAAGAGGAGGAGGAGGAGGAGGAGGACGAGGAGGAGGAGGACGGCGAGGGGGAGGGGGAGGAAAGAGGAGGGATGCGGATGAGTGAGATGAGGAGGAGGAGGAGGAGGAGGAGGAGGAGGAGGAGGAGGAGGAGGAGGAGGAAGAGAGCGAGCAGAAAGGCCAGAGGCTTCTTGGATGCCTCCCCGAGTCTCTTCGGATATCTCTTGCGAGCTTCTTGGAGTTCTCTTGGGGGGTCTGGAGGGCCTCTTGGCGGTCCCAGGGGCCTTTGGGGGGTCGCTCGGGAGCTTCTTGGGGGCCTCTTGGGGCCTCCTAAACGCCTCTTTGTGTCCTCGTTGGGCACTGGTGAGGGCCTTGGGGGCTGTCTGGAGGCAATCTTGGAGGAGGTAGATCAAAGAAGGGGGGGAGTGAATTACGGCCCCCCCACCCCGGCCCGACACCTACGTAAAATCAATGATGGTTGCCTTTTCGCCGAGGCCGCCGTGCAGGCTCCTAATAAGTCGCCCCCCCCCTCAAGACTCAGGGCGAGGGGGTAGGGGGAGGGTAAACCCGTCTCCAAAGGGGAAGAGGGAAGACGGGAGAGGAAACGCCCTAAACCATTCACGCTCTAAAGGGCTGGCGGGAAATTGTTCAACACCTGTCACCCAGAGAACCGACCCGCAAATCGTACACTACGTTGTCCTGTGGCCGTTTCTGCGAAGCCCTAGAGGACAGGGCCCAGATACCTTAGTGTGTGTATGTATATATATATATATATAGAAACGTGTATGTATATGTCTATATGGCCGAAGGTTTGCAGTTTCCTGTGCCAGTTGCAGCTTCCAGTTTCCACTGTTACAGTTCTGCTTCTTGCTGCTTGCTGTTCCTTGTTGATGGACCGCGCGAGGGGGGGGAGGCGCAAACTGGGAGGTTTAGCACGCCCTGAGCATGTTGTCTGAATTGCTGGGGTGGGTAAAAATTGACACCCCTCACGCAGATCGGCGGGGTCACGGTCAAAAAACACACGGGATGTGTCACATTTTTGAAATTTGTTGGCACCAATCATGCAGATCGGCGGGGTCAGGGTGCCAAAACACATTGGATTTGCCGCATTTCTGATATTCGGTGGCACCCCTCACGCAGATCGGCGGGGTCAGGGTGCCAAAACATATAGGATTTGCCACATTTCTGATATTCGGTGGCACCCCTCAAGCAGATCGGCGGGGTCAGGGTCCAAAAACACAAGGGATTTGCCACATTTCTGAAATCCAGTGGCACCCCTCACGGGCGGAGTCAGAGTCCAAAAACACAAGGGATTTGCCACATTCTTGAAATTTGCTGACACCCCTCACGCAGATCGGCAGGGTCAGGGTCCCAAAAAACACATGGGATTTGCCAGATGTCCGAAATTCGATGGCACCCCTCACGCAGATCGGCGGGGTCAGGGTCCGAAAACCCAGGGGATTTTCAACATTTCTGAAATTCGGTGGCACCCCTCACGCAGATCGACAGGGTCAGGGTCCAACAACATAGAGGATTTGCCACATGTTTTTAATTCTGGGTGGGGCACCCCTCACGCACTTCCGCGCGGTCAGGACACAAGAGACTTCCAACATTTTCATATTCGGGGAGAAGATTTGGGCACAGCATACGGGAGCAAATGAAAATTCGACAGCGAGTACAATAACAGACTCGCAATCTCCATTCATCTTGCCAATTACCCATCGTCTTCGCATGAAGTTCCGACGCTGCTTCACGGTGGAGCGAAAGCCTCATGACTTCGCTCTTCCATGGCCCATTCTCCGAGAGAAGGGGCCGGCGGCAGGGGGCGAAGCCTTTAATTTACGGATATGTGTGTATATATATATATATATATATAGACGCGCGGTTCCCAGCATAAACATAAACTTTGGAGTTCCGCTCGGATTTCTGGGATCTGCGCAGGGCCCCTCTGGCGGCACCTCCGGCGCCGATTCAGAAAGTCCGCGCGGACTTACGAATGTTGATGCAGTTCTTCTTCTTCCAAGGATGGAAAGGAGGAGGAGGAGGAGAATGACAAGGATTGCGCCATAGGTTTTTGTCATGTGATTTCAGCCTCTCTGCAGGCTCGTTTCGGGCCCCAGGTCGGTCACATATCGATATGGGATGGAAATCTAGGAATGATGGATCCAGGGACCACTTTTGAGCGGATCTTGCAGGTGAAGTGGAAAGGTGTTCGAGATTCGATGATATTGTATAGATGTTGGCAGATCGATGATAGTGTCCATTCGAGATTATTGTTTGTTTGGTTTCTTAAAGAGCTCGTCGCCACGGCTGGGTGCCCCCCTTCGAAAAGTGTGTGTGTGTGTGTCTGTGTGTGTCTGTGTGTGTCTGTGTGCGTGTGTGTGCGTGTGTGTGTGTGTGTGTGTGTGTGTGTGTGTGTGTGTGTGTGTGTGTGTGTGTGTGTGTGTGTGTGTGTGTGTGTGTGTGTGTGTGTGTGACGCGCCACGCGTTACATGTGCGCTGCGTGCACCAGGTGCGTCAGGTGCCCCAGGGCCCAAGGCGTGCCTGGTGCGCCAGATGAGCCACGTGCTCCACGTGCGCCAAGTGCGCCACCTGCTCACGCCATCTGCGCGACGCGCACGGATGAGGCATTGCACATTGCAGCAAGAATCTGGCAATACGGCGATCTCCCCCAGACCACCCGTATCAAAAGCTAATACAAAGTGGTCGTGGGGTGGAAGTGAGTTCGCATTGTTTTCGGACAGGACGCTGGGGCAATGCACATTGGACAGATACGCCTATACCCCCGCCGTTCCTTTTAAAGTGCTCGCGCGGGTCCCGCTCACGATCCATACGTTGCCGCCGCGTGTGTTGTGCATGAGTTGTTTGACAGGGTTAGCTTCTTTCTGGCTGGCGACCGTAACAAAGGGTGTTTGCGGGCCGCATGTGTCATTTGGGCCGCATGGTTCCCGAATTGGAGAGGGTGTGTGTTCATCAATGAAGCCGGCGCTACCCAAAAAGGGGCTTCTTTCTTACAAAACAATTCAGGGCAGTTTTGATCAATGCAAAGCCATGCAATGCAAATCATTGTTTTGTATTGCTTGGCGTGTCTTGGAACTGCTTGGAATTATTTTTTGACACGGTTCGGCATTGATTGATATCGTTTGGCATTGCTTGGCTTTGCTTGGCATTGCATGGCATTGCTTGGCGTTGCTTGGCATTGCTCGACATGCTTTGCATTGGTTTTCATTGCCACGAGCAACGCCAAGAAACCCCGAAAAGCCCCAAGGAACCCTCGGCGACGCCAAAGGCTACCTCTGACGAAGGGCACAGCACCCATTGGTTCCCTTCACAAACAATTAAGAGCTCCTCCGCTGAAGCCTAGTTGGTGAATAAGGAGCAGTGGTGATCCACTCCTCGAGGGGCAAGAATGTAGTTGAAAGAACCGACACGTTAGATCACCTATGCCCAGAGAGTTGGTGGGATTGTTGTCCGTATCCTCATCCTCACCTTCCTCCTAACGCCTTCCCCCTTCTTTCCTCCCACCTCCTCCCTTTCCGCCCTCACCGTCCCACCTCTGTTACTCCCCTCCCCCTCCCTGGACCCTAGATTACGATTTGCCCCTCTCCGCGGAGTCCACCAGTGTCTGTAATGGCACATCCCTAAGACCGTCATCATGTTGGGCCAGTTGATCATCCAGTCAACCCGTATAGTAAGAATGAGCAATTTCCAGGATTATGCTTGTATCGTTGCTTTTTCGGTCCACCCTTGGCGACTTTCGCTGTGCAGTCCCGTTCGAAAACGCCACTGTGGTCATCCAAGGCCCTTGCATCGTTACCGCGCAACCTTATTACATGTTTAACTGGAGGGACAGGGAGGAGCTCGGGGCTGATTGGGGACAAGGGCTCGGTCAGGTCTGGGATGATTATGCACTTTGTATAATCATGTTTTGCCTTGAGAGCGTGTTGTATCATACAAGGCGTTCTCAGGGTAATCCAGGGTGCCCTGGAATGGCCGCAGCGGCCGACACTCCCTCCAGATCCGCTTGCTCACAGATATCCTCGAGCCAGGCTTTCACGCCGCGAGTTGTTCAATCCGCGGTCCCGATGGAGCTCTCGACCCCTTCCTCAGTGACAATATACACTGTCGCTCCAGATGTTATCAACAGCCGTTGGGCTAGAAACGCGCCCCCCTCCCTCCCAGGACGCCGAATCGGCGACAAGCCCCCGTCGGTCGTTGGGGCTCACGCCGTCGGAGGCTTGCGTTCCAGGTCGATGTTTCATCCCTGAGCTGGTCCCCTCCTAACGCTCCCCCACATCTGAGCGACGCAAAAACCGAGGTTGTCTTCACCGACGTTGGCGCGCAAGCTGTCCGCGTAAGGTCGCGCGTGAGCGCCCTCGCCTCCAGAGTGGCGTACCGCGCTGGCGCCCCGCGCAAGCCGCGGCGTGAGGCTTCCTCCCAACGCTTCCCTCATCTCGCGAACGCCCTCACCGTCGGAGGCCTGGGCCGCCCGCGTCCGCCCCATCACCGGCCCGCGCCGCCTGGCGGAGGAGGCGGCGCCTGGCGCGCACGAGCGCGGAGGCCGCCGCGCAGGCTGGCGGCGACACCGCAGGCGCGCGCGCGCGAGTGCCGCCAGGGCGGTTCGGATGCCGGCGGCGGCGGCCACGGCAAGTTTCGGGCGGGGGATAGAGGGGGGGTGGAAATGTGCTGTAGGGCCGTACGGGGCCCTCAAGGGCCCGTTAGGGTTCAGTGTTCAGGGGGCTCAAGTAGGGACGAAGCGTCTTGACCTGCCGATAGGCCCACCAGAGAATGTCCAGATATTCTCTGTGGTTTACGCGAGACGCTCTTCGAACATGTCGGGTTGGGACTGCTTTGTTTTAATTCATCGGCTTCGTGTTCTAAGGACGTTGTTTTTGTTATTCGATCATTCTCTGGTCATGAGAGCATGTCGTGGTAGGTCGATGAGAATGCCGGGGCGGTCGGTCCCTGTTCCAAGGACGATGGCTAGGAAGGCGGCGACGACTGTCGGAGCTCCGAGCTATCCCATGGCATCCAGCCCATCCCACCCCTCCTCCTCCTCCTCCTCCTCCTCCTCCTCCTCCCCCTCCTCCTCCTCCTCCTCCTCCTCCTCCTCCTCCTCCTCCTCCTCCTCTGAGCGCCTGGGCCCCAGTCCTTTAGGATGTGCGTTGGGGATGTCGCGGGAGGCCTCTCGGGGGCCTCTCGCGGGCCGTTTGGAAGCCTCTTGGGGGCCGCTTCGGGGGCCTCTTGTGGCGTTTTGGGAGCGTTTGCGGGGCCTCTTCGGGGCCTCTTCGGGGCTTCCTTGGGGCCTCCTGGGGGCCTCCTGGGGGCCTCGTGGAGTGGAAGATTTGGATTTTTGGGTCGTGCTCCCTCTCTTGGTCCCTTCCTGTAGCTAAATATGTGTGAGCCGTCTTGGGCGCCTCTTGGGCCGTCTTGGAGCCCTCTTGGACCGCGTCTTGGGACCCTCGCGGGGGCCTCTCGGGCCGTCTTGGGGCGGTCTTGGGGGCCTCTTGGGCCGTCTTGGAGCGTCGATGATTTTGACCTCTCGGGGCACTTGGGAAGGCTCTTGGGGCTCTTTTGGGGCGCCCCGAAGGCTTCTTGGGCCGTCTTGGGGCCATCTTGGGCGTCTTGGACCCCCTTGTAAAGAATCCTCGGGATTGAGGGCTGAGGCTCCAGGGATTGAGCAAGGGACCTGGGGACTCTTCCCTTCGTGCCACAGGCGCACGTTGTCGGATCAGGGCAGGGGTGGTGGTGTTCAGGGATACCTTCCGATTTCGCGCCCGAGCTTCCCCAGACTGTACTCAACCCCATTTTCCCCGTATCACATCTTGCCACAATTACGGTTGGCTTTGGAAAGATAGCGTGCGATGTGGCGCCGCCAGCTCGTTTATTACACGCTATCCCCCGATTTGGGGTTCTCTTGCAACGAAGAAGCGTTGGCAGGGGGATTGTGTGCACAGAAGGGGTTCTCGCGGGGGGAGCGCCTCACAGGGGTAGTGCAGTTTTCGAAGAATGTTCCAAAGCCAACCGTAGATACTGTCCAGTGCTCCTCTGAATCAGGAGTGATCCCGGATTCCAGCTGTTCTAGGGTTCATTGACCTACAGGAGTTAACCCGAGTATTATTGGATCGCATTTGGGGGGGCCAGGCTTTAGCCGGACCAGGTTTCTCCAGGATAGTTCGGGTGTTCAAGACTGTGACGACGGCGGCGGCGGAGAAGACGGCGGCGGCGGCGGCGACGCCAGCCAGGGCGGCGCCGGTGGCGCCGGCGGAGGCGGCGGTGCGGCGGCCGCGACGACGGTTGCAGCGACAGCTTCGACGACGAGAAGGAGGACTAGGACGTCGACGGCGACCACACGGGCGACCAGAGTGACAGGAGGAGGATGGGGACGGAAGCAGGCGGATCCTCCTCGAGAGGCCGAAGGGGGGCGCAGAAGGCCCCCGAAAGCATTCCCCTCGCACCTGGAGGATCGATCCTCGACTCCACTGCAGCCGTAGGGGGGCGTTTTGGCTGCTCCTCCTCCTCCTCCTCCTATTCCTCTTCCTCTTCCTCCTCCTCCTCCTCCTCCTTGTCCTCCTCCTCCTCCTCATCCTTGTCCTCCTCCTCCCACTGCAGCACGCGGCGGGGCCCTGCGCGAGGTTCTTCAAATGGACCACCCGCCCTCCGAGCGCCTGCCCTGCCCTCCTCCCCTTTTCTTCCCTCCTCCTGAAGGTTGGGAGGCAGCCCGACTGCACTGGGGTCGAGGTCGGTGGCGGCGGTGACGACAGCGACGGCGACGGCGACGACGACGACGACGACGACGACGACGACGACGACGACGACGGCGGCGACGGCGACGGCGGCGACGGCGACGGCGACGGCGACGACGACGACGACGACGACGGCGACGGCGACGGCGACGGCGACGGCGACGGTGACGGCCACGGCCACGGCGACTGCGACGGCGACGTCGTCCACGACGACGACGACGACGACGACGAACCAACCGCACCCGTCGCAGGGCCGGGGGCGGCGTCCGCGGCGGCGCCCCGCTGCGACCGCGCCTTCAGCGCGCTCCTGCACGGCGGGCCCCAGGGGGGTGGCCCTCTTTCCAGATGGGGCATTCAAGAAAGGGCCTCGCCTTGGAGGATCGAAGGCGGAAGCGGCGGAAGTCACACCAGGCCGCCTCCGCCGGCGGAGGTTGGCGGAAGTAAATAGTTGCTTTCCAAGGGATAGCAACGTTTTCGGGTTCAGGATTTCCAGCCAGGTGGGTGGAGGTCGGCATCGTTCAACAGATCCCTATCCCCAGGGGGCCATGGTATCTCAGCACCGCGGCAAACGTATTGGGAACGACCTCGAAACGTTTTGGGGACAAGTTGAAATTCCAAACAACTCTCTGCGAGGTATCCTGCCCGGCGCAAGATAGAGCCCACGGGGGGTACCTTGCGCTGCCGGCTTCTTATCGGCAGGCCACAGAGCTCTCCGAGAGCTATCCGGGAACAACATTGAGGACAAATTTGCAAGACTGGCGAGGAACGACCTTCGCAGGAGTTTTGGAAGTGTTGCGAAGGAGTTGCGGGAAAAAAGTCTTGCAAGTACATTGGGAACGAGTCGGAAAACGCTTCCGGAACATGTTGGAAGCTGACAGGAGTTGCTGCGAGGGTCCCTGCCCAGCAACGAAAAAGATTCGGGGTTACCCTGCGTTTTTCGTTGTTTGTTATGGTTAGCTCGCAACGCCACCTTCACATAATTGTAGTCACCCCCGTCATACGCGGCTTCACAGCTCGCTAAACCTCGTTGGATTTAGGTTCAAGTATTGATCTCGGTCTTGAAGATTGTTTAAGTCTGATAATGGATATCCTGGGTGAACGGGCGCGGATGCTGCCGCTGCCGCAGCTGGCATTAACGTCGTTCTGCTACCATGCGAATTTCTGAGGGGGATTTGCACGGGAACGTGACGATGATGTTGTTTTACATCGGGGCTCAGCGAATGCCCCGCTGATCAATAATTGAGCCCAACAGGAATCTCGTAAAGAGCTACAAGGGCTCCACTCCACATTAGAAGCTGGCAGCACAGATTGAAAGGCCACCTGCGGACCAAACAAGCGCGCAGAGACACACGATGGACCAAGTTGCGAAGATTGCCGAGTCAATGGCCAAAGGAAGGGATAAGTCAGGGATCGGCCAAAAGCGGATCAGCGAGTACAGGGCCACGCAGCAGCTCAAGGCGTTTGTGAGAGGTAGAACCAAATTCCGTCAATGGAATGGAAAATGATTAAATGCACAAAATCAAAAAGCGTTAAACAATGCGGTTGGTACGCTGGGGGCTATAGACGGAACGCACATGAGAAAGTCGACAGCGGTGCGATCAGAATCTTCGGCGGTCGGGAAAGAGCATCATAGCTCGCAGAATCTAGCATCGTGAATCAGCATGAGGACGACGACAAAAGAGAGCTTGAATACATCATATAGACAGCGCAAAAGTTTAATGCAGATATGTGGTCGACATTGAGCGACGAGCGAACACATGCTGGGCCCAGGAGACTGATTGCGGGCGCATCAGAATGTAGACAAGTGGAATTCCGCAGTTACCGGCGCGACCCCATCGGCCCAAATTGGCGTGGCCATGACACCCGACAAGCCACAGGAAGTTGGAGACGTCACACCCAGTATGATGAACTAGTGATCGCGCCGGTGAAAACGCTGCAGAAATATGGCCTAGCCTATTCTTTAAACCTCCCATTCCGCATAACTGCCTCGAGGATTGGCGCAACGCGCGCAGGGGGCCGGTTTAAGAGGCGGCGCCAGGGGCGCCTCAGAACACCAGACTAACTGGCGCAGGAAAAGTACAGTGATCCGTCAAGCGTGGGGACTAGGCGCACGGGGCAAGGTTAGACGCAGATGCGCGCGACCACGGCGCAATGGACATCGGGGGCGTCATCGGAGGCGGCGATGGCCATGGCCAGACTTGGGGCTCCCACGAGGAGTGGACGTAGTCGAGGATGGCCACTGGTTGGCCAGCGAACCCAACTTGGGACGTGAGGGCGCGGCAGAAGCGAGGGGGCATACGAAGTCAGCACACGAGAAAGAAGAGGGGGAAAGGGCCCAAATTCTACATGCGCGGCCACGTCGGGCACGTCGCGGCGAACTGTCGGAAAGGAGGCGGGAAGGGCAACGAAGGACAAAGTAGAGGCGAATGAGGGGAGATGACGCATGGGCAATCCGTCACAGGGAGGAGCCAAGGAAAGACGTTGCTGCTGCAGAAATTACGGCGGCAAGGACTCGGGGAGTTGGATCAAGAGGGGCTCTGCGTCCATAATTGGTATCGGCTGTTACGAACGTGGAGAAATAATACGATGACACAGGGCGCCTCGCGGCGCGTCGCGCAGGAAAAGGGGGCGATTGAGGTGCAGCAACGCGAGGAGATGAGGCCGGAGTTAGACAATTCTGAATTGGCTAGCGGGGCGCAGAGCATCTCGCTTGGACAGCCCATGCCAGGGCGTCATGGACTGCATCCCCCCAGCGAGCCACCAGGGTTATAGATGGCAATACGCTGCGGCGCCTGGGTAATTTATGTTGGGTATATATATATATACAAATATATACACATGTATACACATATATACATACAGACATACGTTTGAAAGAGAGAGAGAGAGAGAGAGAGAGAGAGAGAGAAACAAAATAATAATATATATATATATATATATATATATATATAATGGACGCCGAGCGCAGCGCGAGACAGGATGGCCGCTACCCCACCCAGGATGACCCCATGTCGCCAACTGGGGAGCGCGGGTGCAGACAATCTTGCAGGTTGCAGGAGACTGGCAACGCAAGTTCGCCGCGGCCCAGCTCGCGGGGGCCCCAGAGGGTCTTGGGCCATGCGAAGCAGTCGCGGCCGCGCTGGACTCGGGTGCGCACGACAAGGGATCGCCCCCCAAGCGTGGCGAACCATTTTTTCCAGCTGCTTCAGCGGAAGCTTCGCGGGCGCGAAGGCACTGCAGCGCAGCCGAAAGAGTCGTCATCAGGAACTGCGGCCAGAGAGTGATCATGGAGAAAATGAACAAGGGGTTCAAGCGGGCACGCCCATGCAAGTGGCAGACGCTTAAAAGACACCTCGGGATCAGAGCGAGAAATAGTTGATGCTGGAAGTAGAATTGCGCCTGGCCGAGATGAGAGCGGCGGCATTGCAGCCGCATGGAGCACAAGGCCACTGGCCAGAGAATTGCGGCGCATGAGAAAAGAGGCACGGTCCAGATTGGCATCGAGGCATTGGCGGGAACGCGACAAAATGGGTCTAGAGGGACAGCGGAGGAAGTCCCAAACCGCCAGGATGTGCCGAGACGGGGAAACCAAGCGGAAGATTCGTTCCATTGGGTCCACCGAAGCCCATAGTCTCCATCGAGCATTCGCCATATCTGGAGTTGATGATGAAGTAGATGATAGAGATGGGGGGCAGCGAGTTCGATGAAGTGGAAGACGCGTTCATCGCGGAGGAAGCCGAGTTGCCCCAGGGGGCGCGCTGTGATCTGCGATGCAGTAAAGAAGACGAAACCCCCTACACAACACATTTGCCTTATCAAAGTTGCGCCCCCGACTGTGCAAGAGGTCAAGCGAGGAGAAAAGACCGCCCCGGCAACAAAGAGAACCCGGCACCAGAGCGCACATCATCCCCGCGGACCACATGCAGGCAGGAAGATGACAAGGAGGCATGCGACAGATGAAACGCGATCTTTGTTGTGCGCAGTCGAAACACCAGACTAATGTGGAGCAAAGTCGCACAGGAGAGAGGACCATACCCGCATTCGGTCAGGGCAACGATCGATCTGATTTCGCACGGCGTCCACAAGAGGGCCATTTTCAAGAGCGACGGTGGACCCGCAATTTCAGCATTGAAGGAAGCTGTCAGAGGGGGCTCCCAGTCCAAAGGGGACATTGGCAGCGCGAGGTCATGTCAGGACCCCGAGAAGTTTGTCAGATGACAAAAACTCAGACGGATTTGCTGTGAGAACCGTGCCCAGGTTCCGCGGTTGGCATCGCGCGCATCTTCAGTCAGCATTGATTACGTCGCGGGTGCTGACGGTAGAACCGCGCGCGAGAGGCGCAGAGGGAGAACAGTCGGCAAATCGCCATCCAATTTCTGGGAATGTTTTATGTTCCCAAAAAGAACACCGGAAAACAGCTGCTGATACGATAGAAAGCAGATGGGAAAGTGGAGCGTTCTCAGGAGCTGACGAGTCGAGGAGTAGTCCAGAGATTTTGCTGGCACGGCACAGGGACCAGGTAAGTTTCAGGAACTCCTCAGAAAAAAGGAATCGATCAACAAAAGTATGATAACACAGAAGCGACCAATATTCAGGGGCTACCTTGGCAGCCAGATCCCAGCGCGGCGAGCTAGGAGGCCAAGGCGAGAGTCATCGCCCCCAGAGGTAAACCGCCCGACGGCGACGACAGCATCGACGCGCAAAACCGAGGTGCGGCAGTTAAAAGGGCTGGGCACTTGACCGCGGGGCCCGCGCCCCGCTGCCACGGGCGCAAGACCACCATTGGAGGTGGCACGGCCCACAAGCCAAGCAATGCGCACTGCCGAGCGCGAGTTATCGAGCGGCTGGAGCAGCGAAGCGACCGAAGCATTCAGCAGAGGCTAGTTGCGGCGCGATTGCGACAGGAGCCGCACCTGTCGAGAGACCAACCCCAGGCCCAGCGTTAAGTCACAGACTCTCGAACTGATCGACGCTTGACGTTCTAAAATGAGAAGACAATCAGGCAGCGCGGAACCCCGCGAACCCAGTTATTCGCCCCTGACAGGCACCCGCAGTTATCTCCACTGACGCGGCCAATCTCGAGATTCGATCAAGTTGATGCCGCTTGCGAGTCGAACTCACGATGGCTGAAACGTCAGAAACTTCAGGGGCAGCAGCGGAGAGGGATCAGGGGGAGGCAGGAGCAAGGAGACAGCTGGCGCATCCTCCCCCCTTTCCCACCCGTCTTCGCCCTCCTCCCCTTCCGCCTCCATCGCCCCCTCCCCTGCTCTTCTCCTCGTCCGCCTCGTCCCCCTCTTCATCCTCCTCTTCTTTTTTCGGCTTGTCCACCCGAACCGAGGCCGAGAGCCTCGGGCAGCGGTTGCTTGACAGGAGGGAGATGTGCGTACGTGCATTGCCCCGAACTTGGAGAGTTAATCGAGGTCGAGCCCGCTTTGATTTGACCGGGCCGTTGGGTCGCGCCCGTGGGGTCGTTTTGATGATGCATGGTGAGTCGGATTGCCTCCTCTGCTGCTGTGTTTTTCTATCTTCCCGCTCCTCCTCTTCCTCCTCGTCCCCCAGGGCGCATTCCGACTCCAATGGCCCGGTTCGAATCGATCCGGGGGCTTGCCTATTGCAACCGATTCGATGCCGACGTTCCCATGCGGGATTCTGAATTCGAGTTCGTTCGATCCGGCGCAGCGCCGATTCCGATGCCAGCCGATCCGATTCGATTCCCATGTCCCGTTTGGTTTGCAGGAAGACATGATCATGACATGCTCTAAGAACTCCAAGGTTTTTATCGTTCCGCACGTGCTCAGAAACGACGGCCGAAAGATCGTCTGGACCTCTTCGTGTCCTCAGCCAGCCGCATCATGACCTTCTATCCTCGCTCCTCCTCCCTCCTTCGTCGACCCCAGCTACAGCGGGAGGGCCGGCGACAGTGCCCAGCCGTTTCGGGAGAGGTGGCTGTCTGCCCCCCCTCCCCTCCCTGCCAAGGAGTTCCCGCTCGGCGCGCTCCGCCCAGCGAAGGCCATAAACCCATCGAGGGCAGAGCGGTTGCCTTCGGTGAGCTCGTTGCCTCGAGTTGGCAAACATGTGCTTCCCTCCACTCGAGCGCTTGCCTTCGGTGACCTCCCTGCCGCCGAGACAGTTGCAGTCGGCCCGGATTAGTAGGTCGACCCTGCCAGATCAGGGGTACCTTTGTGTCTTGTGCATTCCTGTGGCCATGTGGCCCTCGCAAGGGTCTCGTGTCCTCTCGCGTGTCCTGCCCAGTCAAGTCCGACTGTGTGCCTTCAGCGACGTGTCTGCCCTTCCGCCTCCGAGGCGTCTTCGGCCGCGCGGTCGGCGCCCGTTGGGGGGCCCGCCCCCCCCTCCTCTCCCTCCTCCTCCTCTCCTCCTCCTCCTCCTCCTCCTCCTCCTCGTTCTCCACTCCTCCTCCTCCTCCTCCTCCTCCTCCTACTCCTCTCCTCCTCCTCCTCCTCCTCCTCCTCCTCCTCCTCCTCCTCCTCTTCCTCCTCCTCCTCCTCCTCCTCCTCCTCCTCCTCCTCCTCCCTCTCTCGCCGCCCCGCCGCGCCGAGCGCAGGGGACAGCGACCACTTCTTCGTCTACGCGCTGGTGGTGGGGCACCGGCTCCGGGCGCTCTGCCCCGGCGCCGACCGCGTGCTGCTCTGCGCGGGGCACTGGTGGCAGGACGGGGGCTCTGCTGGGGCGCCGCCTCCGAGCTTGGCATCGCTCGGACGTGTGAACGGTTTCTCGGCGGGGATTATTAAGGAGCATCCTGGATCATCCTGCCAAAAAAACCATGCACGAAACCGAACAAGACGCCCGAGCGACGGGGAGATGACGACACACACCCCGCGGAGGAGAAACACGCAACCATGTTTCCAATCAGAGCTTGCCTTTGTGGGGGTTCCAGCGGATTCATATGGGGAGGTCAGATTTGGCACCGCGGCGGCACGCCCGGGTGCCCGGTAGCCCTATAGCCCTATAGTTGTATAGCCTTACAGCCTTAAAGCCATATAGCCCCATAGCCCAATAGCCCAATAGCCCTATAGATCTATAGCCCTATAGCCTTATAGCCTTATAGCCCTATCGCCCTATAGCCCTATAGCCCTATAGCCCCGGAGCCTCATAGCCCTATAACCCTATAGCCCCATAGCCCTATAGTCCTAAAAAGATGATGCTTTGGTTTTTGTTCTCCGGTATCATTCCATTTCTTGATCATTGAACTACGTTGTGTGTGTCCCCCAATTCGTGGCGAATGGCGGCCCAAACACAGTACACATGATTTGGGATCGAGGGTTCACAGCCCGTCCCCAAGAAAGGATGGGGACCAGAGTTCCGCATGCGCCCCCCCCCGGGATGGGACGGGGGGGAGGACGACGACCGCCGACGCCCGACGCCGACGCCGACGCCGACGCCGACGCCGACGAGGACGACGACGCCGACTCCGACGCCGACGCCGACGACGACGACGACGTCGACGACGACGTCGACGAAGACGCCGACACCGACGCCGACGCCGCCCACGCCGCCCACGCCGCCCACGCCGACTCCGACGACGACGCTGACGACCACGACGACGACGACGACGACGTCGACGCCGACACCGACGCCGACGCCGACGCCGACGCCGACGACGACGACGACGACGAAACACAGGGGTAGGGGGGGGTGCACGGGCACCTCCCACCACGCCACGACCACAGGGAGAGGAGCGATCCCATTCGCAAGGCCTTCTCCAGGCTCACGGGCGTACCCATCCATGACGGGGGGGACTCGATCCCATCTGCATTGGGGGGGCATCCCTGAATCATAGATCTGTTTCAATACTTGTCGCCTTGAAAACCGGCCAGCTAATTAAACGCTGTACGCTGTCCGGTGGCGTTTCTGAAAAGCCCCAGGGAAGTGGACCCGGGTACCTTCGTGTACATACGGGCTGTTCCCATGATCTCCGCCCCCCCTGGAGATCCCCGAGCTCAACGTTGAGCCAGCCGCGGCCGACGGCGGAGAGATCGGATCGCGCGGCGCCCCGCGCGAACGATGAGAGTGAAGGGCGCGGGGAGGCGGACTGCGCGCGAAAGTTGCTCTGCTTTGCTGGGGAGGGCCGGGGCCACGATATCCCCCCAGATGTTATGGCCCCCTCTCCTTGTGTCGGTACGTCCCACTGGGCCCCGCAGGGTCGCGCGCGTGCCTCTGGCCACGATTTGTGACCCCCCCCCGCTCCGAGAGCGCCTCTCCAGAGAGCCCCCGGAAGCCGCGCCCTCGCGCACGGGCGCGGCACCCGAAGAAGAGGAGAGAGTTGCGTGCCGTGAAGATATACGGGCCTTGACGGAGACGGCTCATAATCAAGCAGTGGCGAAGCGTCCTGGCGTGCCCATAGTCTGACCAAACCATGATCGAAGACCCTTGTGTGGTTCCCACGAGATGTTCTTTGAACATTTCTGGTTGGGACTGCCTTGTTTGATCACATCGGGTTTATGTTCTAAGAACACTGTTTTGTTATTAGAACATGTTTGGGTTCTAAGAACATGTCGTGGTAGGACTAAAGGAATGCCGGGACGGTCGGTCCCTGCTCAACAGGGGGTTTTTCGCAGTTCATTGCTTCACTGGTCCCTCCACGGGCCGGGCTCCGCAGGGCCAACCCCCTCCGCTGGCGCGCTCCGCGCTGCAGGAGCGGCGACGGAGGCGCCGCCACGGGGGGGCCCAGCGCCGACCCACGAGGTCTGCGCGGGCCTCCGAACGTGGCTGTAAATGCAATTGTTTCCTCCTCGGGCGCCCCGCTGGGCATGCACCGAACAGCTCCTCGAGGAAACGCGTCGTTTCGCGTATCCCCACCGACCAAGAGAAACATCTCGTTCCCTCGCCCTCTTCTGCTCTCTCTCTCTCTCTCTCGTGTGCACTTTAGGCTGCTGCTAGTCAGCTGTAGCTTGGACGGCGCGCGGCCCATCTGTTTGCGCTCGCGAACAAAAAATATCCCCACCAACCCAAAAACAATTATGAGGCCAGTTGCCCTGATCAGGGATGCGTAGCAGCACGCAGCCACGCTCTGGGAGCATCTCGGTGACATCGCGGGGCCATATTCGGGCCCTCTTGGGGCCATCTTGGAAGCTTTCCTGGCTCTCTTGAGCCATCTTGGAGCCATCTTGAGCTCCGGGGGGGGGGGGTCTTGGGAGGCTCCGTGGCCACTTGGGGGCGTCTTGGGACTGGCATGGCGCATCTTGGGGGATGTTGGAAGCTATCCTGAGCCATCTGGGGTTATCTTGTGCGATCTTTGCCGCCATCTTGGGCCATGTGGGGCCCTTCTGCTGGGGCCAACATATTGTGCCGTCTTGGACGTTCTCACCCGTCGTGACCGGGCCCCGCCCAGACCCAGGGAGAGGGTCAGGGGGAGAGGCAAAAGAAACGTTTTCTGATTCAGCGCGACATTGGGCGGAGGGGGGGGGGAGGGGGGGTCTCTGGCTCCGGGCGTCTGCTTGATGTGACTGTTTGCAACGGTGCGTCCTATGGAGGGGGGAGGATTCCACCTGCCGCCGAAAACAGCCGAGATTTACTCCATGGGTTGGCCCCCTCCCCCCCTCCGCCCCCCCCGCCCCACCCATGGAGTATTTTTTGTTCCCCCATACGTCGACTCAGCATGCCTTGAAGAGCTTGCAGTCTTCCATGCATGCTGAGTCGACGTATGGGAGCCAAAAAAATACTCCATGGGTGGGGCGGGGTGGGGCGGAGGGGGGGAGGGGGCCCGCGCAGATCGTCAAAACAGTGAATAAGAAAACGATCACAGACCTCTCTCCGACAGGGGGCAGAGGAGGTTGGGCGACTTCTTTCCTAAACCACCTACGCCCAAATGAGTGGTGGGGCTAAACATCTCTGGTCCAGTCACGGGTGGGAAGAATGGAAAAAAACACCCGGGACGAAGGGGTGTTTTCGGACATACGAACGGACAGTGCCGAAACAAGTCGCTCCAGGATGTCGCTCGAAATGGTGAGCACGAGCACGAGCCCAAGTTCGAGCCCGACCACGGGCCTGAGTCCGAGCACGAGCCCGATCCCGAGCCAGGGCAGCGCTCAACCAGAGCACGACAGGACAACCACGGCGCGACGGTGAGGCCAAGGCGGGGGGGCGGCACCGATGGCCGCAGGGAGGATGGTCGAGCTCCTGCGCGCGCGTCTGCACCCTTCTCGCGCAGCAGCGGCTCCCCTCTGCCCCCAGCCGCAGGACCGCGCAGCGCGGTCCGCGCTGAGACGGGTGTGGACCAGCGTCCACTTCTCGCACCTCAGCCCAGCGGGCTGCCGCCGCCCGCGCCAGCGCGCCCGCGCCCCCCCCCAACAAAAAAACATATATATATATATATATACACACACACAACACACACGCACACGCACACGCACACGCACACGCACACGCACACGCACACGCACACACACACACACACACACACACACACACACACACACACATACACACAGCACACCACACACAACACACACACACACACACACACACTGGCACACTGGCACACTGCAGAGGGGCTCGTCCCGTCGGCGCGTGGCCTCGGAGGAGGCGCGGCTTCTCCCGCCTCCTCCCTCCTCGCTCCCTCCCACTCCTCCCCCCCTCCTCTTCGTCCACTGAGCTCAGAGCAGCACGGTTTCGGCAAGGACACCCGCGTGGCCCGAGCCGAGCTTTCCTCGCTGCTCCTCGCTCCCCCGCGCTTCCCCTCCCCACCCCATCCCTCCTCCTCCTCACCTCCTCCTCCCTCCTCCTCTCCTCCTCTCCTCCTCCTCTCCTCCTGATCCTCCTCATCCTCCTTCCTCCTGACGCTGACGCTGTAGGCATTCGGAGTCCAAAACGATGCGGCCATCCCCCTCCTCCTGCTCCTGCTGCTACGCCTCCACCCTCCACCTCCCCGCCCTCGGCCTCGTCCTGCCGCGCACTCTCTTCCCTGCACACCTCTCCGCCCTCGTCCTCACGCTCGTGCTTTTAAGCCTCCCCTCTGTTCCTCTCAGCTCCTCCGCCTCCCCGCCCTCGTCCTCATGCTCGTGCTCCTCAGCTTCGTCCTCGTGCTCCCGCTCCTCGACCCCCCCTTCCGCCCCCCATCAAGCCCCCGTGTGAGGCTGCGTATGTGTCGCCGTCGTCGCCTGCGACCGCTCTCTCCTCTGCCAGGGCCCTGTGGCCCCCCCCCTCCTCCCCCTCCTCCTCCTCCTCCTCCTCCTCCTCCTCCTCGCGAAAGCGCGCGAGCCGAAAGGGGCAAGTTCGTGCAGGGGAGGCCCCTGGCAGCATTGGGGCCCGCGGATCCATGCGCCCCACGCGACGAGCGCGCGGCGGCACAGCGAGGTGTTCAGCAAGATCCAGGCGCTGCGGCTCCCGTACCGCCAGGCCGCTCTGCGCCGCCTCGTTCGCTCGAGCTCGATCGGTGCCGCATCCGCGGCCCTGGGTCGGCGGGGTACGCACTGGTCCACGGCCACCTTGATGTTCGCCTCGACGCGACGTTCGCCTCGGATGTGGCTTCCTTGAGGCGCCCTTGTGGGGCCCCAGTGAGCTGCTGGTTCGCGGCGTGGCCGCGGGCCGCCGTGGGGTACCGACATGGGGCCCTGGATCGGGGCCAGGGGGGAGTGGGCACCGGTCCTGCCAGGCCCAGCTCGGGCCCGCGGTCGGTGTGCGAGCCTCCCTGGCCAAGGTCGGAGGACCTGCGCGCAGGTCCTGGGCTCGGGAGGGGCCTGGCCAGGACCGGGGTGCGTGTGCAGCTCTCGCTGTTTTTTTCTGCGGCTCCTCTCGAGCGAGACCGGCTCGAGAGGGCCCTGTGGCCCGAAGCGAGGCGGAAGCGCCCGTCTCTGAGGCCCCCCTCCTCCCTCCTTCTCTTTCTCCTTTTCCTCCTCCCCCTCCTCCTGCTCCTGCTCCTGCTCCATCCGTTTTCCTTATGAATAACTTCTCCCCGTCGCACCCCCAGACGTGTCCGTAGGGCTGGCCAGGCGGTTCCTCTGAGACTTCCTCGCCGTTGATGAACCCGAAATTTCAAGACTGTAGCAGTTGTATGATCCTCGAGTTTGAAAGTTACAACAGCTTCACGGATAAAGGGTGGGTGATGTTCAACATGTGGTTATCTTCTGAGCGCCCTGCACATTCGTCTCAAACGTCTGCAGCAGTTTCACGGATGTAGGGTGGGCCGTTAAAACATGTGGCTTTGTGTGATAGCCCCGCGCACATTTGTTTCCAATGTTTGCAACAGTTTCATGGGTGGATGGCGGGCCGTTGAAACATTTGGTTTTGTGTGGTAGTGCCGCGCAAATTTGTTTTCAATGTCTGCAACAGTTTCATGGTTGGAGGAAGGGCCGTTGAAACAGATAGTTTTGCGTGGCAGCGCCGCGCCCATGTGTGTTTCAATGTCTGAAGCAGTTTCATGGATGGAGGGCGGGCCGTTTGCAAACTTTGGTTCTCGCCCCAGCGCCGCGCACATTCGTATCAACAGTTTGCAGCAGTTTCACGGCGGGAGGGCGAGTCGCTTTCAAATTGTGGTTCTCGCCTTAGCGCCGCGCACATTCGTTCCTTAAAATTTGATAGAAGTTTTTCAGGAGCCACATAGTCGAAGTCCCAGTCATGGCGTAATGGCTGGATTTGGGACCGTCAGGACGCAGCAGTAACGTTGATTCGCGGCGCTGAAGTCCCAGGCATGGCGTTCTGGTACGACCTGGCACTGTCAGGGCGCCACCGCGACAGTCGCGTTCATCCGCGGCGTTGAAGTCCCAGGAGCGGTGCTTCGGCACGACTGGGTATCATCAGACGGTTGCCTTCGAATGGGGTACTTCTTTCGCAATACTGATCAGAGCTCGCAGGAACCTGTGAAGAGGGAACTCGGAGGGAGCGTCTTGGATTTACACTGGTCCTCCTCCTTCTCCTCCTCGTCATTCCCCTCCTCCTCAACTCCTCTCCATCCCTTCCTCCTCTTCATCTTCCTCCCTCCCTGCCCCCTGCTCTCCCCCTCCGCAAGCCTGGCGCAGCTGGTCTTCCTGGACCTCGACCTGGTTCCCCGCCGCGATTTGACGCCGCTCTTCGACGTGCTGGCGCCGGCGGGCATGCACCACGGCGACCACCGCGGTGGCGACCAGGAGACCCGCCTTTGGTTCCAGGAGGAGGAGGAGGAGGAGGAGGAGGAGGAGGAGGAGGAGGAGGAGGGAGGGAGGGAGGGAGGAAGGGAGGGAGGGAGGAAGGGAGGAAGATGAGGAGGAGGAAGGAAGGAGGAAAAGGAGGGGGGCATACAGGAGGACGACGAGGGGGGGGGGAGAGGAGGAGGAGGAGGAGGAGGAGGAGGAAGAGCAGAAGGAGGAGGAGGAGGAGGAGGAGGAGGAGGAGGAGGAGGAGGACGAGGAGGAGGAGGAGGACGAGGAGGACGAGGAGGACGAGGAGGACGAGGAGGACGAGGAAGGGGAGGAGTAGCAGGGAGGAAGCCGGTGCCCGACTCGGGGGCGGGGGCTTCCACCCAGCCCTTGCCACAGGGGCGGGGGGCCCCGCAGCGGGCGATCGGCCAGCGCGGTGCCCGGTCGCGCGATGGAAGCCAGGGCGCCCGCGACCATCCGTAGGCGTTGTTGCAACAGCGGAGCCATCGGTGTCATGTTCGACAAATGTTACGAGAACGTTTCGGGCCCACTCAGGCCTTGTCCACGGCGTGCCGCGGCATGCATTGGAAGGTCAGGCCCGGCGATCTGTGCCACCTCATCGCGGCACCGATGGAGTCCAAAAAGAAAGCAGCCGCGTTGCAATCAGCTATGCTCTCCCAGCGACATCGTCACCAAGCACGTCACCCTCGAGGTCGAGAAGCCGGACTGCTGCGGCCCATGCATTGGCCCGCCGCTCCCCGCGAGCCTGTGCAACCAGCACCACAACCAGCCCGGCTACCAGAGGGAGTTCGAGGACGACTGCGATCCGTGCGCCCTCCCGCCACTCGTCCCCGCCGTCGTACCCGACCGAAGAGTCGCTGCAGCCCACCGTCCACCACACCCGCAGGCGCCGCTCGAAGGAAACCGCGCCGGCACCCACGCCTGCGCCCACCGCCCAGCCGCCGACAAGAGCAGCGACAGTTTGAGAGGAGAGGCCGGCTGCGTGGGCCCGTGCGCGTGTGCGTGCCCCGCTCCCGCACCTGCGAGGAGGATGTGCAGGACGCCGAAGGGCGCGGTGAGAAGGAGGAGGAAGATGTGGAGGGCACCGAAGAAGTAGAGGAGCAGGAGCCGCGAGAGGACGTCATACATGACCACCGAGTGCACGCGGGCACCCCCGACAACGTCATCCGCATTCCGTGGCAATCACAGGGGGGGACATCCACGACTCGGAGGACCTAGCGCACCGTGCTTATCTCGAGCGAACAAGAGCCCCAGACGCCTTCGCCCAGCTTTCGCACAATTGCCAAAGTCCGTACCACAAAGTGTCGATCATGGAGTTGTCGGCGCTCGCTAAGCACATCGCCTCCCGCCCACACAACAAGTCCGCGGCCACATGGACAGAGCTCGAAGGGTACCACAAGACCGACTGGATCCCCGAAGACCACCTGACCTTCCTAAGCCAGGACTTCCGCTGGGCCCCACCCCTATGGACCCTGAGACCCTGAGGATTCGCCCGGCCTGCCCTGGCATTAGCCTCCTCACCCTTCTCCCTTCTAGACCTGCTCTTCCGCCTGCAGGGCTCTTTACGAACCTCAGCGAGTCGGCGCCCCCACTCAACCTCAGCAGGAGCTCGAAGCTGCCACCGCCCGCGCCCACTCCACTTGCCACAGAGGGCTACGACGCTTGCCCCGACGAGAACAGAACAGAAACACCAAGATGGGGCGTCCGTGAGATTCGGGGTGAACCCTCAAACCCCAGGGCCCTTGGCGGGCCCCGGCCGAGCGCGGCCGCCAGCTGCTGGAGCCCGTCTCCACGAGCTCACGAGCTCTCTCGCGACGACCACGCCCGCGCTGACCTATTGCAGCCGGGCGGGGGGTGGGTCACGCAGAGGCCCGGTATGGCAGCCGAGGTCTTCGCGCGCGGACTTCTGCCGCAATGCCAGTCGCCCGCCGCGCAGGCCAGCCTCGCCGCAGCAGCCCGCCCTACACCTTAGGCGATGCTTAAGAAAACTTAAGTTTTCGGCGAGAGTCTTGATTATTCTTAACTTGTCAATGTAAATCCCAAGATTTTGATTGAAGTTCTGGGTTTTTATTCCAGTTCTGAGACTCTGAATTTCTTAACCCATGGTTTCTTAAGCATTTCGCAGGGTGTACCTCACCCCTGTCCTTCTTCATGCATCTCGCCTGGCCTCCCCTGCCTCCTTCGCCAATCTTCGACCTGTTTCACGGTCGGCTCCCGAACGGCTCGCCATGCAGCCCCGTCCCATTTCGCAACCGGGGCGCGAACATCTTTCGCGCAGGGATTGCACGCCCGACTTCGGCACCACACTCTCTGCGCCAGTGCCCCGCGGCGGCGTCTCGCGCGCGACGGGCCTGAGGGCCACGACTATCGCCGCCAGCCGCCTTGCTATCACTAACCCCACTTAAGTGGTAGCCACCACCCCCACCTTGTACGTTTCCCCTCGCCCTTCTCCTCGTCCGAGGCCCGGGGCACAGAGGCCACGCCCACCAGCTGGATCGCAGTATCGACGGAACCGCATCAGCAAGAGCACTGCTGACGGCTCACACAGCTGGAGCCACCTAGCGCGAAGACCACCGCCGATGGCTCATTTAGCTTCTCCCTTCCCTCGCCCTCATTGATGTTCCCGCCCGCCCCCCCCTCCTCTTCCTAGGCGCGCGCCCGTGCCGGCCGGGCCCGAGGAGGGGGCACGCCTTTACCGCAATGTCCCAACCCCGAGTGCGAGCTCTCGTAGTTCGCAGCGCCCCAGCGCCAACCAGCACACCACCGCTTGCAGGGGGGGCTTCGTGTGGACTGGTTGGGGAGGATGGGCGGAGGATCGCAATTAGGGCTTCGTCCCCGGAGGAGGAGGACGAGGAGGAGGAGGAGCAAGAGAGAGGAGAGAGAGGGAGGAGGAGCAAGACGTCTCCTCCTCCTCCTCCCCTCCTCCTGCCTCCTCCTGCGCTGCTCACTGGGTGGCTGCGAGCTGTGCAAGTGTCGCCACTCTCCATGGGAAGCTTGGAGGCACGGCAAGGCAGCGGAGCACCCGAGACCTCGCAGCTCCCTGGGTGGCTGCGAATTGCGCAATTGTCGCCACTTTCGGGGGCTCTTGGGAGGCATGGTGGAGCAGCGGAGTGCCAGAGACCTCGCAGTTCATTGGGTTGTTGCGAATTGCGCAATCGTCGCCACTTTCTTGGGTTCCTGGGAGTTCCAGGGCACGGCGAGGCAGCGGAGTACCCGAGACCTCGCAGTTCCCTTGGTGGTTCCGAACTGCGGAACGGTCGACACTCGCTACTCGTCGTGGGCTCTTGGGAGGCACGCCGGAGTAGCGGAGTATTGGAGACCTTGCAGTTCTTGAGGCGGTTGCGAGTTGTGCAACGGTTGCCATTTTCGTGGGTTCTTGGGAGGCACGCCGGAGTAGCGGAGTATTCGAGACTTCGCAGATGTTTGCGTGGTTGCGAATTGCGCAATTGTCATAATGGTGGTGGGCTTCCGGGAGGCACTGCGAAGTAGCGGAGTACCCGAGACTTAGCAGCTCCTTGTGTAGTTGCGAATTGCGCAATAGTCGCCCCTTTCGTGGGCTCCTGGGAGGCTCGGCGGAGTAGCGGAGTGCCCGAGACTTCGCAGCTCTTTGGGTGGCGAATTGCGCAATTGTCGTCATTTTCGTGGGCTCCTGTGAGGCACGGCGAAGTAGCGGAGTACCCGAGACTTAGCAGCTCTTTGTGTAGTTGCGAATTGCGCAATAGTCGCCCTTATCGTGGGCTCTAGTGAGGCACGGCGAAGTAGCGGAGTACCCGAGACCTCGCAGTTCATTGGGTTGTTGCGAATTGCGGAACGGTAGTTTCTTTCTTGGGCTCTTGGGAGGCACGGCGAGGCAGCGGAGCACCCGAGACTTCGCAGCTCCCTGGGTGGCTGCGAATTGCGCAATTGTCGCCACTTTCGGGGGCTCTTGGGAGGCATGGTGGAGCAGCGGAGTGCCAGAGACCTCGCAGTTCATTGGGTTGTTGCGAATTGCGCAATCGTCGCCACTTTCTTGGGTTCCTGGGAGTTCCAAGGCACGGCGAGGCAGCGTAGTACCCGAGACCTCGCAGTTCCCTTGGTGGTTGCGAACTGCGGAACGGTCGACACTCGCTACTCGTCGTGGGCTCTTGGGAGGCACGCCGGAGTAGCGGAGTATTGGAGACCTTGCAGTTCTTGAGGCGGTTGCGAGTTGTGCAACGGTTGCCATTTTCGTGGGTTCTTGGGAGGCACGCCGGAGTAGCGGAGTACTCGAGACTTCGCAGATGTTTGCGTGGTTGCGAATTGCGCAATTGTCATAATGGTGGTGGGCTTCCGGGAGGCACTGCGAAGTAGCGGAGTACCCGAGACTTAGCAGCTCCTTGTGTAGTTGCGAATTGCGCAGCCAGACGAGCCCTCGCTGCTCACTGGGTGGCTGCGAACTGAGCAGTCGTCGCCCCTTTCGTGGGCTCATGGGAGGCCCAGCGGAGTCTGAGTGTAGGAGCCGCGCAAGTCCGACGGGTACTCTGCATTGGGACGGGGCGTGATCCTGACCTCGGCTTCGTCCGTGCGGTCGGGAGGAGGAGGAGGAGGAGGAGGAGGAGGAGGAGGAGGAGGAGGAGGAGGAGCAGAGGGAGAAAATGGGGATGAGGAGGAACAGGTTCTTTGGGGCCTTCTTGGCCTCCTGGGGGCATCCCAGGAGCCTCCTGACAGCTTTGGGGGGCCTTGAGGAGCCTCATGGGGCCTCTTAGGGCCTCTTGGGCCGTCTCAGGTGGCTTTTGGCCCGTCTGACGCCTATTGAGGCCGCCTTGGGTGCCTCTCTAGGCCATGTTGGTGTCCTCTTTGAGCGGTTCACGGCCGTTTTGGAGCCCTCTCGGGAGCTTGTTCTTCGATTTGTTGACCTTTTCGCGACGGTTTGAGGACCTTTTGGAGATCATTTGGGCTATCTTGGAGCTATATTGGAGGCCTCGTGGAGGCTTCTTAGCCGTCTTGGGCGGTCAGAAGCCAAAGCAGGCAAA